CAGGAGTTATTTGAGAATAAGGCTTTGTAATCATAGGAAGTGTCAGCTTCCATGCGTGTTATTACCCTTGAAGACCTTCCAGTAGGTTAAGATGTGGAGGTGGAAAGCAGTGTTACTGATGACCTTAACCCTCTGTAGGCCTAGGCTAATGTGTGTGTCTTAGTTTTTAACAAAAAAGTTTTAAAAGTAAGAAAAAAAAGCCCCAAAACAACAACAACAAAAAACCCCACAAAACTTAAAGAATACAGAAAAGCTTGTAAGCTGGGCATGATGACTCATTCCTGTAATCCCAACACTTTGGGAAGCCAAGGTGGGAAGATTGCTTGAGACTGGGAGTTGGAGACTAGCCTAGACAGCATGACAAGACCCAGTCTCCACAAAAAATTTAAAAATTGGCTGGGTGTGGTAGAATAGCACCTGCAGTCCTGGCTACTCAGGAGGATGATGTGGGAGGATCGCCTGAGCCCAGGAGTTCCAGGCTGTGGTGAGCTATGATTCTGCCACTACTCCAGCCTGTCTGTTCAGAGACACAGCAAGACCCTGTCTCTTAAAAAAAAAAAAAAAAAAAGTAAGGATATAAAGAAAGAAAATATTTTTGTACAGCTATACAATGTGTTGGTATCTCAAGCTGTGTTATTATAAAGGTTAAAATGTTTTTTAAAAGCTGCAGTAAGCTAAGGTTAATTTATTATTGAAGAAAGAAAATGTTTTTCTCTAAATGTAGTGTAGCCTAAGTGTACAGAGTATTAAGTCTACAGTCATGTACAGTAATGTCTTCACAGTCACTCACCCCTCAGTGATTCACACAGAGCCACTTCCATTCCTGTAAGCCCCATTCATGTTAAATGCTCTATACAGGTGTATTATTTTTCATCTTTTATACCATATTTTTACTGTACCTTTTCTGTGTTTATAAATATTTTGTTGTTGTTGTTGTTTTGTTTTGGTTTGGTTTTTGAGACAGAGTCTCACTCTGTGACCCAGGCTGGAGTATAGTTGCACGATCTCAGCTCACTGCAACCTCCACCTCCCGGGTTCAAGAGATTCCCCTGCCTCAGCCTCCCAAGTAGCTGGGACTACAGGCACACGCTGCCACACCTGGCTAATTTTTTGTATTTTAGTAGAGATGGGGTTTCACCGTGTTGCCCAGGCTGGTCTCGAACTCCTGAGCTCAGGCAATCTGCCCTCCTTGGCCTCCCAAAGCGCTAGGATTGCAGGTGCGAGCCACCATGCCTGGCCTAAATATTTTAAACACACAAATACCATTGTGTCACAATTGCCTACAGCATGTAGCGCAATAACATAGTGTACAGGTTTGTAGCCTAGGAGCAACAGGCTCTACCATACGGCGTCGGTGCAATCGGTTATACCATCTCGGTTTGTGTGTGTAGACTCAAATGATGTTTGTACAACAGTGAAATTGATTGACAATGCATTTCTCAGAATATACTCCCATCGTTAAGTGACACTGACTACTTTCTCTCTCTCTCTCTCTCTCTTTCTCTCTTTCTCCTTCCTTCCTCTCTCTCTCTGTCTGTTTCTTTTCTTTCTTCAGAATCTCTCTCTGTTGTCCAGGTTGGAGTGCAGTGGCGTGATCTTGGCTCACTGCAACCTCTGCCTCCCAGGTTCAAGTGATTCTCCAGCCTCAGTCTCCTAAGTAGCTGGGACTACAGGCGCGTGCCACCATGCCCAGCTAATTTTTCTATTTTTAGTATAGACGGCGTTTCACCATGTTGGCCAGGCTGGTCTTGAACTCCTGACCTCAAGCGATCCACCCACCTCAGCCTCCTAAAGTGCTGGGATTACAGGCGTGAGCCACCGCGCCTGGCCCACATGACTATTTTCAACATCTTAGATGAAAGGTACCAATTTCTTGAAAGCCACAACCCCCCAGAACTCATCAATAATGAAGCCAAAACCTGAATAGTCCTATAACTACTAAATAAATTAATTTCATAGTTTAAAACCAGGAAAATAAACCTGTAAGACCATATGGTTTCACTGGCAAATTTTATGAGACATCTAAAAAAGAAAACAATTCTGCATAATCTCTTCCATATATTTTAAAACATATTACTTTGAAATAATTTTAGACTTGAAGTTGCAAAAATAATACATGGAATTCATCTAGTTACCCCCAATAACATCTTATGTAGCCATTACACATCGTCAGAACCATCTTCCGTACATTCTTAATTACAAAGGATTATGTGTCTAAAAATTTTAAAGAATAAAAGTATATGAAGTAAAAAATGAATCTGTCTCTTGCCCTACCCAAAGACAAATCACTCCACAGGGGAAAATGCTGTTAATAATTAGTTGTGCATCCTTCCTGGACATTTTCTGTGTATATACAAATATACACAACTACTAAGTAAATATACAGGCTTAATTTTATTTGATCAGAATGGAATCTTTCTATATATATATTGTTTTTCAACTTGCTCTTCTTACCCAGTAGCATACCATGAATCCATGTAAGTGATGTCTAACCCCAGGCCCCACAAATAACAGGATTTTATTTTATTTTTTAAGATTGACAGAATCCTGTAGTACGGATGTTTGGCAGCATATTTATTTTGTTTTGGCGACAGACAATTAGATTGTTTTGCCTTATTTGCCATCACATATAGTGTGCACTACTCATCCTTGTTCCTGTGAACTGAAGGGGTAGTTGAGTGCTTTTGAGAATGGGTTTTTAGAAGTCGTGTTGCCATGTGAAGGACTTGGTGATATTAGTTCGGATTTGGCGTCTGTGATCCTGAGGGAGATTCTTCTGCAGCAGTGGAGTTTAGCCAGAGCCACATTTCATACGTCTGTGATGCAGGTTAATTGCCTCTCCTATGCACATGCGCATTTGAAAATTACTGCCTTCTAAACCTTAAAAAGTTGTGTGCAAGTTGAAGCTTAATAAGTGAAATTGCACAGTTACATGCTGAACCTGATGGGGATTGTCACTGCGGCACTGAGCATGTTGGTGTAGGCGGTGGCTGGCTCTGGACCTGGGGGTGTCCAGTGACGGGGTGAGGGGTGAACAAGGATGACGGACTTCCAAGGGGCACCCGGGTCAGTGCAGTAGATCAGGTGTGCTCATTGCATTGAGGAAGGGTTGGTTTTAAAAATGGAAGGCTTAGGGAAGAAGACAGTCATTTATAATATAATGCCATTCAGGTCAATTAAAAATACACAGACACAAAGCAGCATGAGTTCTGCAGAATATATTCTAAAAGACACTATAAAAAAGTTTCCAAAAGACACTGTAAAAAATTATAAGAAAATATGTCTAAAAGACACTAAATGCAAAAAAAAAGTTGTCTGAAGGGATGGAACACAGTGGGGGCACAGGGAATAAATAAATGGAAGGACAGACAGATAAGCATAAGAGGTGTGGGAGGAGCCAAGTGAGCTCATAAAGCAGAGGCTCTGTGCAGAGGGCAGGGCTTGGGTGCAGTGCAGGGTGGAGTAGGTGGGGAGGTTGTGGTAGACTCTGGGCCAGAGCAGCTGTTTGGCCCACAGGCTGTGGCTCAGGCTCTTCTTCTGTAGGATGGCATATTAATGCCTACGCAGAGGCTTCCACTGAGGCTTGACTTAGATGTCACATATTCAACGGTGTCAATCTGTTCACACAACAAATCCTACAATAAAAAATTCATCTAAAGGAAATACTCAGTTGTGTACTCAATAAGCGACATCAGCCTGGAATTCATCTAACGGAAATACTTGGTTGTGTACTCGATAAGCGACATCAGCCTGTGTCTTTTGATTCACAGCAGCCTTACTGCTTTGCTTGTTTGTTTTGAGAGAAGGAAGGTCTTACAAAACACTAAAAACTCCACCATGTTCACCCAGAGGACAGGCTAATCATGAGAATTGTAATATATATTTCTGGTCTAAATAAAGTCTTCAAAGCATCACAGATCCACTGTTAGAACTTCCAGGTATGTGTAGGAACCCAAATAGTGTGCTTAGGTTAAGAAGTGTTTCCATGATGTTGCGTTTCCTACCTCATTCCTAGGTGGTTCAATTTGTTTTCAGGCTATTTTTCCTTATGATAATTTATTGGAACAGCCATCTTTTTTCCTCCTTTCCCAAGGACACCCCTTGGCCTGGGAGGACTTGTGTTCCGTGGGTCCCTTATTGCAATACTTGTGAAACTTGAACCTGCACAGGAATGACTAGAGGGTCTCAATAAAGTGCAGTTTTGGATTCTGTCAGTTGGGTGTGGCCTCAGAGTCTGCGATTTTGGCAAGCTCCCAGGGGATGGTGATCACAATTTTTAAAATTTGAAGTATTATTTATACACAGTAAAATTCACCCTTACTCTTCTGTAATGGTACAGAATTTTGACAAGTGCATATACTCATGTAACCACCACTACACTCCCGACGTAGAGCAGTTTCACCGCCCTCAAAATTCCCTTGTCCTTTCCTCACCACCCTCAAAATTCCCTTGTCCTTTCCTCACCACCCTCAAAATTCCCTTGTCCTTTCCTCACCACCCTCAAAATTCCCTTGTCCTTTCCTCACCACCCTCAAAATTCCCTTGTCCTTTCCACACCACCCTCAAAATTCCCTTGTCCTTTCCACACCACCCTCAAAATTCCCTTGTCCTTTCCACACCACCCTCAAAATTCCCTTGTCCTTTCCTCACTGCCAGACCCTGGCAACCACTATCTGTCTCTGATTCTATGGTTGTATCTTTTCCAGAATGTCATAAAAATTGAGGATTCCATATACAGCCTTTTGAGTCTGGCTTCTTTCACTCAGCAGCATGCATGTGAGATCTATCCAAATTGCCGTGTGTATCAGTAGTTTGTTCCTTTCTTACTGCTGAGTGGTATTCCATTTTATGGTATACTATGATTCCATCATAGTTTATTTGTCCTATCACTTCGTGGAAAGACATTAGTGTTTCCAGTTTTTCAATCATGAATTAATTTTTAATTCTAAAATTTTGCAATTGTAGAAGAAATGTAATTCTTTTTTCCATTGTTGTTTTAGGTGACATCACTCAAAAAGGGTATGAAAAGAAAAGGGCAAAGCTGCTTGCACGTTATATACCGCTTATTCAAGGTAAGGTCAATACACTCAGATGTTACATAGCAATTATATTGTTTTATAAGACTTGATTTTTAACTTGTTTTTAGAGTTTAACATTTGTTAGCAATGTTAAACCAAGTTTAAACACTGGTATATGTTTATTATTGATGGAGACAGGGTCTCGCTGTGTTGCCCAGGCTGGTCTTGAAAAATATGCATCTAATATTAATAAAATTCAAAGGCATAGATTATAATTTAAAGCTCTGGCTTGATACAGATCTCAGATCTCATTCCCAAAGAGGATTTATTTTATTTTTATGATTATGAACAGCCTGCACATTTCGTTACTGGGGCTAGAGCATCCATTGTAAAGATGTCGGTTCTTGCCACATTAGATTGATTTGTAGATTCAGTGCATTCATCATTTCAATAGGGGTGTGTGTGTGTGTGTGTAGCTTAACAAGTTAGTTCTGAGATGTATATCCAAGTATAAAAGGTCAAGAGACCCAAAATATGTTCAAAAAAGAATGAGGCGAGAAGATTGGCCCAATAAGGATATGAAGAGTTACTGTAAAGCCATTGTCACTAAGACAGAGTGGACAGCTCAGACAGATGCATACGTGCGTGGACTTTGCACATGGGAATAGCGGTGTGGCAGGCATGGTGCTGGCATAGTTCTTTGTCCATATGTAAAGCACATGACATTGGAGACAAAAATCGGTTCCAGATGTATTCGGCCTAAATGTGAAAGATCTTTAAAGCCTTTAGAAAATCTTATAGGAAAATTGTCACCATCTCAAGATAGGATTTTTTGATGTCACTAAAGGTGCCAAAAAGCAGGAACCATAAAGGAAAGGATTAATTGGACCACATTAAAATTAAGAACTTCTTTTTTTCAAACGTCATCATAAAGAGATTGCAAAGACAAACTACAGAGTGTGAGAAGATAGTTGTAACACAAATAAGTAGTATCCAGAGGCCAGGTACGGTGGGTCACGCCTGTATTCCCAGCGCTTTGGGAGGCTGAGGCAGGGGGATCATGAGGTCAGGAGTTCAAGACCAACCTGGCCAACATAGTGAAGCCCCGACTGTACTAAAAAATACAAAACTTAGCCGGGCATGGTGGCGCGTACCTGTAGTTCCAGCTACTGAGGAAGCTGAGGCAGGAGAATTGCTTGAACCTGGGAGGTGGAGGTTGCAGTGAGCTGAGATCATGCCACTGCACTCCAGCCTGGGAGACAGAGTGAGACTTCATCTCAAAAAAAAAAAAAAAAAAAGAACTAGTGTCCAGAATGTACCAAGCAGTGCTGTCGAGTACAACTTCTTGCAGTGACGGACCTGTTCTCTAACTGCATTGTCCAGTATATGAAACACCAGCCATGTATGATGATTGCACATAAGAGACAAGGTCTCACTCTGTTGCTCAGGCTGGGGCACAGTGGTGTGATCATAGCTCACTGCAATCTCAAACTCCCTGGTTTAAGCAGTCCTCTCGCTTCAACCTCCTGAGTACATGGGATTACAGGTGTGCACCACCACACCCAGCTTATTGATTGAGATGGGATCTTGCTATGTTGCCCAGGCTGGTCTTGAACTTCTGGCTTCAAGCGAGTTTTCTGCCTCAGCCTTCCAAAGTGCTGGGATTACAGGTGTGAGCCACCACACTTTCCCTTAATTTAATTAGTTTAAACTTAATAGCCAGAAAGTTTCCCAACATGATAAGAAAAAGTCTAGTAGAAAAATGGATGAAGATTCAAATAGGTTATTTCATAACAGAAAATCCAAATAGCAGTGAGCAAATGGAAAGATGTTTAACCTCACTAGTAATCACAGAAAGGCACATTGTAACCACAGCCAGCTATCCTGTTGGAGAGGATTCGATCGGTAGGATGCAGGCAGCTAGGATTACATAGTAAAGTTGAAGAGGTGCAGCAGTTCTTCAGGTACATATTTGCCCTAGAGAAACTCCTGTTTGTTTGCACCTTATTCTCTTGTACAAAAATGTTCATTATATCTGTAAACTGCCAAGAACTCAAATACCCATCAACAGAATTCATACAGCAGAAAGCTAAAGACCCACATGCATCAGCAAGAATGAATCTTGTAAACATCGTAGGGATGAAGGAAGGAATTACAAAGGCATATAGCCAGTACAAGCTTAAAAAAAGATGCCAAACCGAGCTGTTAATACTTAGGGACCTTGTGTGGTGAGTCCAGACAGAGAAGGAAATGGTTTTCACAGAAACCAGCACACCATTTCCTCATGGAATTTAGATTGCAGAGGGTCACAGGGACCCCTTAAGGCACTGAGTGTTTTGTTTCGTAGCCTATGTGGTGGTTACATTGATTGTTTGTTAATAATATTCTTAAACTGTATACGTGCTTTATATTGCCTGTATTGGTATGATATATTTTATAACAGATCAACAACAAGAAGATTGATGAGGCTCTTTGTGTGCTGATATTTATTCATCCAAAATAAAAACAAACTCAGAGTAAAATTGGGATTGAAGGAAACTATTAAAATATCTTTAAAGCCCATTTGTCCAAAATCACCAGCAGTCATCAAACTAAACAATCAGATACTGTAGCCATTTCCATTCCAAAAGAGTTAACAGAAATGCTGGCCAGCCCATTCTTATTACACATTATGTGGGTGGTCACAGCTGATGCAGTGAGACGGAAAACAAAGCAGAATAAATATTAGAGAACAAAAGATAATCATCTTTAAATATAGGTGATATTATTTTATACCTTAAAAACTCATGTGACTGCTCATGTAACTGTTAGAATTAGTAAGTGATTTTGGTTTGATAGATATGAAGATAGAAGGCAAATATGTGACTTTTCTGTAGCAATATTTCTTGTTTTCAAATATGAAAAAATCTTACTCATAATGAAAACAAACTGTCAAATGCTTATTAATGCATTTAGTAAGAAAGGACCTATGTTAGGATTGTAAAATCTATTTGAAAGAAATAACCAAGACCCTAATATGTGAAGAAACATATCAGTTTCCTAACTGGAAAAACGTAATACATCCTATAAAACTGGCAGATTCCGAGTTAATGTGTGAACATAATGTAGTCCAGTCTGAATACCAGGCCTGAGGTTTTCCTAAACCTAGGATTGGAAATGACCCATTAGAAGGGGCAAAGTTCTGAGAGTAGCCCATCAATTTTTGAAAAAGAACACTGGTGATAAAGGACTGGCATTTGAGATGCTAAACCTGCTTGTGTACGCTTTATAGTCACAACAGGAGGATGTCAGTGTGCAGAGTACACAACTCAGTCAGTGAAAGAGAAGAAGTCCGGAAGGGATTTGAGAGGATGTGAAGGAGGAAGGGTTAATAGCTGGTACTGTCCTTCTGCAGGCAAGAACCCTCTTCCTCCTCCCCAACTTTAGTGAACATAAACTTCAGAATAATTAAAGTTCTAAATATGTTTTTAATTATAAAAACATACAATTCAGGAGACTATTTGAACACCCCTTTTAGTAGGAATTGTCTTCATAGGCAAGATAGGAGACCTGGAAGCTAGAAAGGAAAAGATGGACAGGTGTGACAGGCTCCCTAGAAATGAGAACATTTCAGAATGACTGAGCTGCTACACGCCAGGCCACAGCTCTGTGTGTGTACACAGTTCAGGGTGTCCACAGCAGACAAGGAGTGAGGCTTCCTGGTCTTTTAGTGGGGGTCTTTAGTTGGGTGACATAACAGAAATCCAAAGGACAGGAAATGTGGATAGGCAATAAATATTAAATTTTGTTCAACCTCAGTGGTAGATATGGAAATGCAAATTAAAAGGCACCATTTTTCTCTTATCACATTGGCAAAATTCTAGAACTTTTTATAACATCTAGTGCTGACAGAGAGTGGGGAAATGGCACTTTCATACATTGCTTGTCAGAGCGTGAATTGCTGTAACCTTTTTGGAAAGTTACCTCTTCATATCTGTTAAGTTAAAAATATATCTACTCCTTCATCCAGTAATTTCACATTGGGTCATGTATCTTTGTTGAATAAATGAATCTATCTCAAAGAATAAAAGGATGCATATTTTGGAATACAAGTGTAAGGAAGTCCATTTGTGTATATGTCACTTTACAGCATGCTTGTCTATCATCCATAAGGTGTAAGACTCGGTATTGTCCATTGTGAACTTTAAAGTTGTTTTATCCAGTCACAAAAAGCCAAAGTCAGTAGGGCTCTGCTCAATATGTGTTTTGTACACACACACACACACACGTGTGTGTATGTATGCTCACATTTTGAAGGGCTAATACCAATTTCTGTAGAGAGTGTTCCCATTCTCCACAGCACTGACCACCCCAAAATGTACATAGTACTTGAACAACATCAGCAGCATCTGTTCTGCTCAAAAATGTGCAGTGCAGGCCTAGCTCAAATGTTACCTTGTCCCTGTCCACAGAGCCAGAGCTGGGTGCTCAAGTCCTGGGCCAACATCCTGTGAGGGCTCCTCAGTCACAGCTGTGGCTGTTGGGGTGAGGAGACTCCTGCTGCCGAGCACCTGGCTCCCCAGCCCTGCCTGTGTCTCCCTCTGTCCTCATGTGGCCCCTCCACTGTGGGGCTTAACACTCTAGACTTGGTGTGTGGTGTTGCAGAGAGCCAGGTAGAGCTGTGTCGCCTTTCACCACCAGCCTTGGAGGTCACCCAGCATCACTTCTGCCACACTGCGCTTGTTGGGGCAGTCACTGACCTGCCCAGGTTTGAGGCAGCATGGACTCTGCCTCTTCAGGGAGTGGTTAGGGCTGGAGGAGCCAGTGGGACTGGAATTCCTGCTGGCCAATTTTATGAGACATTTTGAAACAAAGGCTAAAGCTAAACGCATATTTTTGTTGAAGCACAGCTGCAGGTTTTGCTTTGTGCTGTTTGCAAATGTCAGCAAATTGGTTCAAATGATACCAGGGATTTTGTTTAGTGACTTGAACAATTGCTCCCCATTCCTTCACTCACTGTAATGTGTCTTGTGGCCAGGGGACCACTGCCCGGAGAGTGGCGGGCCTGGTGAAGGAGTGTGGAGAACAGTGTGCTCTTCATTTGTCCTGATTTGGAGGCAGAGCAAGTGGGCGGTGCAGCAAGGGCAGTTGGCCTGGCCTGAGCAGGTCCCAGCCTCTGAGCACTTTGTGCCCTGACGCCATCATTCTAATGCCCCTCTCGCTCTTGTCTTCTCTGCCTTTTCACTTTTTTCCTGTTTCTATCAGAGGGCTAGTGGTGGACCCCAGTGGTGGTCTGGTGAGCTGTTTCTCACTCAGGGTTTACTGACACTGTAGAGCAATGCTGGGGACAAACAGCACAGGCCATTTCAGACTTAGAAACACAGTTCATAAGTGGGCTTTGGGAGGGCTTTCTACCATGGCTCCCACCCCTGATGTGAGCTGCCGTGTGCTGTGCTGCCAAGGGTACAGGGCCAGCTGTTTGATCATCACCCTTCGTGCAGATGGTGCATGAGAGGCAGGGCAGGGTGATGTGGGGAGAGGAGAATATGAAAGTGGATGTTGCCCTTAACCCACAGCATTCATGCGTCTATCACTGACTTCCAGATTAAAGGCTCTTTGATAGAGTGTATGCAACAGATGAGAAATGTAAGCTGTTTTCAATGGATTTTTTTCATAATTGGAAAAGCAAATTGTTCACACAAGGTATTCCCATAAAATTGTGTTTCAGGAATAGACCCATCTCTACAAGCAGAGAATAGAATTCCTGGGCCCTCACAAACCACGGCTGCTGCACCCAAGCAGCAGAAGTCTCGGCCCACCACCTCGAGGGATGAGCGCTTCCGGTCAGGTAGGGTCACAGCCTAGGCAGTGGGGAAGGTGGGCAGGCCTGGAGCCCTTGGACTCTCGCCATGAAGTCTTTCAGTTATTTTTGCTTTGCCACAATATCTGCCAAAGAAATTATTTTCACATAAGCAGTAATGTACATCATCATATTTTTTTCAAGAAAAACATTTAACCTTCACGTAACCACGGTCTGTTTTAATGCATGGTGTAGCTTTAGTGGCACTTTCTTAGGGGATGGCTACAGAACTTTCTAGAGAAGTCTTCTCTCTCTTACTAGAATAATTTCTTTAAAACTTTTGTATGCTTTTTACTTTGAAATTGATACTAATAATTTTTGTGCTTTACAGATCTGCTTTACTGTAGGTGTAGGTGTTTTAGTGTTTTTTTAATTTTGGAGATTTCCTTCCAATTAAACTTATGCCACTCTGTTTGGCAGTGCTTTTATGAATATTTAAATTTGTCTCTGATATTTTACTGGAATTAACAGAATAGCCATTGAAAAAAATTCACGTTTTTTTATTATAGTTTATGTATTAATAACTTGAGCACGTTATCTATTTAATATTTTCACCACTGTGTGATTGTATATTTTCTTCACATTTAAGCTCTTTTGATAGGCCTTTTTCAGAAAAAATTTTAATAGGGATAATTGTCGTTTTAAGAATACTGAAAACGAAGATTAATATTTTCAATGGTTTTTCAACAGGGAGTATAAAGAAATAATCTAAGAAATATTTGACCAGATAATGTCTTACCAATTTGATATACATTTATAAAAAACTTTATCATGTGGCAAACAACTTCTTCTCTGATTATGTAAATAATAATGTGCTTAGTGTTAAATATGTAAAAAAAAGCACCAAATTTAAGGACAGAGGTAAAAATCACCTGATACCTCTGAATCCTGAGATGGCTGCCCTCAGCATTTCACTGAGCACTGTTGTCCTCAGGCCTGGATGCAGATGCATGCACACGTGTGCCTTCCATGAGACTGGTCCTAGGAAACGTCTCCTCCCTTCTGTCCCTCCGAATATTCTACATGTCCTGGCTCTTCTCCCCAACCCTGTTCCTGCTCATGGAAGTGATGTTAATAAACTGGTTTCTGCCCTTGTGAAGTTTATACTAGGTATATTCTTTATCTTTTGAATACAGGTCTTTTATCATAAATAGGATTTGCCAATATTTTCTCTCAGGCTGTGATTTATCTTTGTGTTTCTTTAAAGTATCTTTTGAAGAGCAGAAGTTTTTAATCTTGATGAAGTCCAAGTTATTTTTTAAAAATGGATAGTGCTTTTGTTCTTGTGTTTAAGAAATCTTTCCCTAACCCAAGATTACAAAGATTCTCTCTTGTGTTTTCTTGTACAAGTTTTATAGTTTTAGGTTTTTTAGTGCCATTTTAGTGCCCTTAAGTTTGTGATTTTTTTTTTAGTTAATTTTAGTGTAAGTACAAGGTATGGATCATAGTTTATTTTTTTGCATGGAGATACTCAACTCTTCCTGGACCATTCCTTAAGTCTGTGCTTTCTCCAGCGAATTCCCTTTGCACTTTTTTCTAAAAGCAGTTGCACGTAAATGCATGCATCTATTTCTGGACTGTCTGTTCTGTTCTGTTGATCTCTTCATCTGTCTTTATGGCAAAACAGTGTTCTCTTGATGATCGTACCTTAATAATAAATGTTAAAATCAGTAGTGTTAGTCCTTTAACTTTGTTTCTTATCTGTGTTCTGTTGTATGCGTCTTTTTTTCTTCTTGCACTTTTAAGATTTTTCTCTTTATCACTATTCTGTGGACTCGATTATATCCTCTCTGAAATTCCTATATTGAAGCCCTAACCCCAGTGGGATGCTATTTGGAGTTTGGTCCTTTGGGAGGTAATTAGGTTTAGATGAGATCATGAGAGTGGGGCCCTCACAGTGGGATTGGCGCCCTTATAAGAAGAGGCATTGGCCAGGCGCAGTAGTCACACCTGTAATCCCAGCACTTCGGGAGGCTGAAGCAGGTGGAGACCAGCCTGGCCAACATGGCAAAACCCCATCTCCACTAAAAATACAAAAATTAGCCAGTTGTGATGGCACATGCTGGTAGTCCCAGGCGCTCTGGAGACTGAGGCATGAGAATAGCTTGAACTGGGAGGTGGAGGTTGCAGTGAGCCAGTATTGCCCCACTGCACTCCAGCCTGAGTGAGACTGTCTCAAAAAAAAAAAAAAAGAAGAGGCACTAGAGCTTGCTGGCCCCCGCCCTGCCCCATCACCCTATGAGTAGAATGGTTAGAAGGCAGATGTCTGTAAGCCTAGAAGAGAGCCCTCACCAGACACCAACCATGAGGCACCTTGATCTCAGACATCCAGTCTCCAGTAAGAAAATAAATTTGTGTTGTTTAAGCCACTTAGTTTATGCTGTTTTGTTATGGAAGCTGAACAGACTAAGACGCTGGTATTGAGTGATTTGATTATTATGCGCGTTGGCTGGTTTTGTTATACTTGGGGTTTGTTGAGTATTTTTGGATCTGTTGTTATACACTATCATGTTGCTATTATCTATATTTTTAGTTCTAGGTAGTTTTTAATCTATACTTATTTTCCTTTTTTTCTAAGACAGCAATAATGTTTAAAGCAGGGGAATCATAGTAACTTCCAAATCCGTCACAAGGGTCTCAGTCCGTTTCTTGCTCTCTTTTTGTGAGCCCCTTTTTCCGTGAGCGTTTTCAGTTAAGTCCTTGTGTGGAAATGCTTTTCAAACCTTGTATGTCTGATAATATTTTTATTAAATCTTCATGTTTAAATGATAATCTGGCTAGATATAAAATTATAGGTTTAACACTTTTTTCTTCAAAACTGTTGCTTTTTTGTGCCTGGTGATCCTACTGAGTACTGTCAATCTGTTTCTTGATCTTTCAAGGTGATTTACTCTTTTTCTCTGGAAGCTTTTAGAATTGTTCTATGCCTTTGATATCCATAAGTTTCCTTTATCATATGTATAGGTGTGAATTCTTCACCTTTCCTGAGTAGGAAAAGGTTTAACCTGGCCCTACAAGCCATTTAAATGTGAGATTTTTAAATGTTTTCAGACATTTGTTGGGGAAAATTGAAGCGTCTACAAAACTGGCCATCTTTGTATGATAGCTCCCCTGGACCCATAGTCGAGCTCCAGAAATTCTCGGTCATCCATGCCCTGGCTTGGATTAATCTGTACTCTACCTGCTTCCTCCCTTCCCTTATGGTTTCAAAGCAAATCTCAGATACGTTATTTCATTTAGATGTCATAATATTCTTGATCTCTGTCATTTTCATGTCGTAATGGTCTTGGTCTCTGTATCTGAAAAGATTGTATTTCTAAGAAATAATGCCATTATCACAAAGTAATTAACAATAAATACTTCCTTAATATCAAATATTCAGCCAATGTTCATATGGCTTCTAAAGAACAGGTTTATTTGGACCCAGGATCCAAATAAGAGCTCACATTGCAGTTGGTTGGTAAGTGTTTCAGCCTCTGTGAAACTTAGCTTGGAGAAGCTGAGCTATGTTTGTCTGATGGTTCCTCTTGGTGTCTCTGACATGCTTTTTAGCTCACTAGAGCTGATGAAAGTCAGGTTACAATGTTCAGCTGTTTACAAGACTCACGGGCTGCCCCTGTTCCTCCACCAAGAGGCCTGTTGGGCCTGACTCTTGCTCTTTGCTGTGGTGCTTGGAAGCTAGTGATTTTCTCAGTTCTTAGATTGATGATTTCCTTTGGGCTGCAAAATGGTGAAATTTAGATTCTGACATTCCTTCTTCATTCAAATGCCAGAATATTTCCATAAAGAGAAACTTCTGTTATTTACAACTTGGTACAGGAAAGTCAAGATGAATATTTAATTCTTTCCATTTATTTACTAGTTTTCAGAACAATAGGTTGAGTCACTGGCCTCCTCCAGTGGTAACCAATTGATTTTGTTTCCTCTTTTCCTTTTTCTTCTTTTATCAGTATCATATTTGATGTTTCAGTCCATTCTAGTATTTCTCCTTATCGATACTCAGATTGTCCCATTCTTCGCCATTGGGAATCTCTTCAAATTGGCTTGAGTTGTTTGACCACTTCCTGGTTGGCTGTTAGGATAAGAAGTTCTAGGCTCATCCTGGGCATTTCTTCCCCTGCTCCAGAATCTGCCATTTCTCAGGTTTTTTTTAACGTGAGGATGGTGTTTCAAGAGCACAGTCTGGGCACTAGGGATGCTGATTGCTGTTGGGCTGATTGTGGTTTGTAGACATTTTCAATGTACAGAGGTAAGACACACTTTTAAAAGACAAGATACCACATTTGTTTGTAGTGACTGCAGGGTCTGTACTTCATCTCTTTCTCTCCCTTCCTCCCTTCATCCATCCCTCTTTCTCTTTTCTCTCTTCTCTCTCCTCCTCTCCTCCTCCCCCCTTCTCCCCTCCTCTCCCCTCCTCACCTCCCGTTCTCCCCTTCTCCCCTTCTCTCTTTCTGTCTCTTTCTCTCTCTCTCTCTCTCTCTCTTTCTTGACAGAGTTTCACTCATTTCCCAGGCTGGAGTGCAATGGCGCAATCTTGGCTTACCACAACCTCTGCCTCCCGGGTTCAAGCAATTCTCCTGCCTCAGCCTCTCCAGTAGCTGGGATTACAGGCATGAGCCACTGTGCCCGTTTTTTTTCTCTCTCTCTCTTTCTTTTCTTCCTTTCTTCCCTTTCTTTCCTTCTTTTTCTCTCTTTCTTTCTTGGGTTCTCACTCTGTCACCCAGGCTGGAGGCAGTGGTACAATCATAGTTTACCGCAGCTTGGAACTCCTGGGCTCAAGTGGTCCTCCAACTTCAGCTTCCTGAGTAGCTGGGACCACAGGCGCATGCCACTGCACCTGCCTAATTAAAAAAAAAAAATTGGGCAAGGCGCGGTGGCTTACGCCTATAATCCCAGCGCTTCGAGAGGTGGAGGCGGGCAGATCATGAGGTCAGTACTTCAAGACCAGCTTGGCCAACATAGTGAAACCCCATCTGTACTAAAAATACAAAAATCAGCTGGACGTGGTGGGGGGCGCCTGTAATCCCAGCTACTTGGGAGGCTGAGACAGGAGAATCGTTTGAACCCGGGAGGCAGAGATTGCAGTGAGCTGAGATCACGCCATTGCATTCCAGCCTAGCGACAAAACAAGACTCCATCTCAAAAAAAAAAACTTTTTTTTTTTGCAGAAATGTGGTCTTGCTCTGGTGCCCAGGCTGGTCCTGGCCTCAAACGATCCTCCTTCCTCAGCCTCTTAGAGCGCTGGGATTACTGGCATGAGCCACTGTGTCCAGCCTACCTCTTTCATCTACATTTGTATCTCCTCTCCCTTATGAGTGTCCAAGCTCTAGGGATGGTAGAATCAGACTATCAAGTGTTTTAATTTGCCATATCCCACAGGACTCACAAAAGATCTGTATGACAATGTCCTCACTGCTATCAACAATATGAGAGAGTTAAACATTTTTTGTACAGTTACTTTTGTTCTTATTAGATATTTCTGGAAGTAGAGGTTGACCAGTTTAACTTTGGTGTTTTAAAGTCAGCTGCAGTAGTTTAAACCAGGGGTGTCCAATCTTTTGGCTTCCTTGGGCCACGTTGGAAGAATAATAATTGTCCAGGGCCACACATAAAATACGCTAACACTAATGATAACTGATAAGCTAAGAAAAAATTGCAAAAAAAACTAATAACATTTTAAGAAATTTTACGAATTTGTATTAGGCTGCATTCAAAGCTCTCCTGAGCTGTATGAGGCCTGTGGGAGGGGCCTCATTTGTTTGTAGGGGTTGAACAAGCGAGGTTTAAACCAACAACAAGATACACATTTAGGCTCATTTGTTTCGCTTTATTTTCAATTTTGGGGATTTCTCTTTTATTCAGTTTTGGTTTTTAATATGGAAATATTTACATGATTTCAAAGTTAGATCTACAAACAAAGGAATATTTAAAGAAATCTAGGACTAACAAGTGGGATAGACAGAGAGAGCTTCTATTCCTTTTACCCCCACTGAAAACAAAGACATGAAACTTAATTTGTTACTTTATAACCAGTCTTGTAAAAAGTATTTTTACTGCTGTCCTTCCTGTGTAGATGTCCACACTGAAGCCGTGCAAGCAGCTTTGGCCAAATACAAAGAGAGGAAGATGCCTATGCCTTCGAAAAGACGTTCTGTCCTTGTGCATTCGTCTGTGGAAACCTACACCCCTCCAGGTATTGATAAACAATGTCAGGAGTGGCTTTTTTGAGTGTTTCACAGGCCTGATGTTATCCTATTTACTTCCCATTGAGTTGGAATATCCGTCTGGCCTGTAGTATAGATTGGACACATTTGGAGATTAAAAATGTTTGCATATGCTCATATTCCTTACCTGAAAATCTATGGTGCACATAGTATTCTTACCCAAATGGGTACTTGCTTTCTATAAGACTTTTTGTGTGGATCTTAATTTCTTTTACTAAGATGCTATTTATGTTTTTTAGTAAAGAGAGGAACCTAAAACACTAAGAGGAACCTAAAATAAGCACCAAGCTAAAGCTTTTTGAATTAAGAATTTTACAGTTATTCTCATCTCACTACCTATAACTTAACAGGTTGTAACCAGGACTTACATGCAGCAGTATAAGACTATTTGGAAAGTTTTGGGGTTGATTTTGTTGTTTTATTATTGGTACCATTAGAAATGAAAACTTTTATATGAGGTTTCTCTCTAGCAATAATGTATTTTAGTCTTCCTTTTAAACTGTGCAAGATGTTGATAGTGTCTAATGACTTTACATTCATGAACTTGCATTGTTGTATATTTAAAGTAACAAAAATAGTGACACCCATTTTTAGTTTGATGCATTTGGAGATACTACACAATAAAACCAAGCACACCAGATTCACAAGATGATTTAGTGGTTTTGGTAACACTTTCTTGCTTAAAAGAAGTTTATTGTTGAAAAAAATCTTAGAAATGACTGTCAAATTATTGTTTTTATTAAACATAGCTATAGACACTATCCAATTTTAAAATAATTTTTTAATAATTGTAAAACCCATAATAAAACACTCACTCATGCTGACTTGAAGAAACCTTAATGTACAGTTAATTTTGTTGACTGAAGCCATTTTCTTGGGGAAGGAGTTGTTTGTAGAGCTAGTTCACCTGACTCCCCTGAAAGGATGCATGTAGACCGGGCTGCGGTTCTCCCGTGGCCACCGTGTTGTTGCTGGGGCCGTGCACAGGCCAGGAGGCCTTCTCATTGCCTCCAAGGTGTAGGGCCGGGCCCGGGCTCGCCCCCGGGTGATGCTGACTGGTGTGTGGATATGGCGTCTGACTCTGTGGACATGCAGTGCAGCACTGGATATTCATGGGACACCCCCACTGAGGTAGATGCCGAAGCCGTTCGGGAGATCAGAGGCTGTCTTCACTGAGTGTGTGTGGTGCCCTGTGGCTGAGTTCTCTCTGAATCATTTTCCCCACAGTAGGGCTCCTTGCACGCCCTTCTAGGTTGAGGGTGACCTTTGAGCTGACTCTGTGGCTTTGTCTGGGCAGAGCTGTGCCAGGTGTACAGAAGCATGCTGCACACAGGCCTGGGAGGCTCCAGTGCAAGTGGGAACTCCGTCCTTCTCTTGATTCATCCCGATATCATGCCTGTCATCGTTATTTTAACCACAGACACGTCGTCTGCCTCAGAAGATGAGGGCTCTTTACGGCGACCCGGGCGACTCACCTCCACTCCGCTCCAGAGCCATTCCAGCGTCGAGCCCTGGCTCGACCGGGTCATTCAGGGCTCGTCCACCTCATCCTCTGCATCCTCCACCTCATCTCACCCGGGAGGGAGACCCACCGCCGCTCCCAGTGCTGCAGCCACGCCGGGGGCCGCCGCTGCCACTGCTCTCGCAGGCCGTGAGGCCCACACCCACATAGGTCAGTAACAAGCTGCTGCGGCCCCGGTGCCAGCAGAGCGGGGTCAGGAGTGTCCAGGACAGAGCAGCAGGTAGAGGGCACCTGAGCCGGGCGCCACCCTGCAGACTGAGCTGCAGGCCTGAGTGCTCTCCAAGTGACTGAGGTCACACAACCCAGATAACCCATGCTGGCTTTTTCTGCCTGAGACATTAAATTGATTTTGAGTTTTTAATGATTGCACTTGAAAGAAATGGGATAATATTTGGTTAATTCATCATTTAGATTAAATCCCTAATAACCTTTTCAACAATACAGCTCAGTTGCAAATTTTTTCCCCATCAAGACCTACCTTATTTTTCATCTGGGAAATGTCCTTTTGGTAACAAAAGTAGTTCTTGATACTTCTTTCATTTGGCAGTCCTAGTCCTTTGAGGCATGGGGCATTTCTCATAGTCCCCCAGAAGGGTGTAGTGTTTCTCAGTGTCATAACAGCTTCCTGGTCTTGAGGGGTAGCTGGTGCACACAGCAGGTGCAGGGGTAGATGGTCAGCACACATCCATACCTGCTGGTGGCTGTGATCATCACCCTTGACCTGGCTGCCTCTCTGTTGTCTGTGCCTTTCCTCTTGGCTCTATGTTCACAGCTGCAGGGCCATTGGTTGTCTCTGTACCCGGCTGGAATTCTGAGGTTGGGGTAGACGGCTGCAGTGTGGTCTGGCTTTCGCTCCTCCAGATACCAAGTTAGACAGCCTTCGGCGTGAAAAGGTGTCAGTCAGAGCTAATCATATGGATGCATGGATCTTTCCCAAATCATAGAATCCCTTGGATTACATTCATCTTAGACATGAAAAAAGTGTAAACCTTTCATCCTTTGAAATTCTATTTTTTAACTAAAACAGCAGCATAGTTAACTGTATGTAACTGGCATGTGAAACCCACACACACTCTTGCACAAGTACCATAAAATACAATCAGTATTGTTGAAGACTCATCTTAATCCCCTCCTTTTTTTCCCAGATGAGGAAAGAAGAAAAAAAGTCCGGTGATATTAACTTGCTTGAGATCGCACAGCAGCCTACGTGGTGAAGCCAGGGCTGATACCAATTTTCTTGATTCCTATTCATTTTCTTTGCTTTTAGTTGCTTTTCTGCCAAAACTGAAATGGTGACACCCGTGACATGCTGTTGTTTGTGCTGGGGTCCCCATGGGTGCTGAGCTTTTTTCTAAGACCTTGGTCATTTGGCTGGATTGGGGAAAAGTTGGGTATGTTGAGTGGCCCACAGCTTCTGACTCAGCATCCTCCATAGGGCGCATCACTGTTGCTCTTCATTTTTTATTTGTTTGAGTCAATACATCTGTTTCCATTAAACATGTGTCCTTCTCCTGAGGTGTCAGTCTCAGATGAAAGCTTGCAGTGCCCTGCTCTGTCTCTAAACAGCTTCCAGCTCATAGAGGAACGCCAAGACTACCAGGGCAGCAGAAGGCAGCATTTTCCACAGAGAAAGCTCCTCTTTGGAAAACAGCCTGCCCAGATATTTCTGTGGCTTTCCTGGGTATTCCATGGCCAGAGGCTGCTGCCCACGTTTCCTCAAGGAGCTGTACAGTCCATACCTTGAAAACAGCTTTTGCACTATTGTTTTCCTTCTCTATTCATCATTGGTGATTTAACTTTATAGAAATACATAGTCAACTCCAATTCTGAGGCGGGGGCAGGAAAACAGTAATTTTAAATGTTCTGTTACCTCATTTCTTCTCCCAGAATCTCCTTTCTAGGTGAGATGGTCCAGGAGAGCAAACAAAACATTTGTAGCTTGAGTTTATTAGCCATTGCTGAGTCATCTCAACACCGTTTCCTGGTGGGTTAGAAATAAAAGCTTACTCAGCATGAAAAATTAGCCACAGTTCAGAATGTTTGACTATATAGCCCTCAGCTTTCCAGTTAGAAGCAAAGCATTTAACTCTGATGTGTGTTTGAATTAGATGTTTTCATTCTCTGAAAAGGACGTGGCTGCAATTATTTAGAATGTAGATTTATGACCTGTGTTGATGGAAGACAGCTCCTGACTCCTGCAAATGCAGCTGTAATCATCTCTTCCTTTCCTGTTAGTCCTAGCGTCAACATTTTGTGATCAATTCTAACAAATTTTTAAAAAAGTTCTTAACTTGGACTTAATTTAATACCTTGCTTACAGGATTGCAATTTTCTACAGATTGTAGCTACCCACATCCTAAATGTTGGGCATAGTTAATTTGAATTTCTAAATCTCAAAAACAGTCAACTTCCGTCTTATTACAGAAATCATCCTTTGTTTTAGTTTCTAACACTAGATGTGTCTTCAATTTAAACTAAGGAAAGAAACATGAAAAGAGGAAGAATATATTAAGTAAAACATTTGAGGTAGAATGTATCAGGTAAAGATAATTTTTAAAAATACCACTTTCAGTTTTGGATTAAGGAAATCAAATATATTAAGCATTTTTATACGAATATAAATACCTATTTTTAAAAGCAATACTTCTAATTATAGTTTTGTTTTGTTTTGAATGTAGTTTATGTTTATTTTTATGCAGCTGTTTTTTTTTTTTTTTTTTCTTTTTTTTTCCCCCCCTAGAGACAGGGTCTTGCTCTGTCACCCACACTGGAGTCCAGTGGCATGATCATAGTTCACTGCAGCCTTGAACTCCTGGGCTTAAGAAATTCTCCCACCTTAGCCTCCTGAGTAGCTGGGACTATAGGCAAATGCCAGCATGCCCAGCTAATTTTAAAAAATTTTTTGGAAAGATGGGGTTTTTACTATGTTGCCCAGACTGGTCTTGAACTCCTGGGCTCAAGTGATCCTCCTATCTTGGCCTTTCAAAATGTTGGGATTACAGGAATGAGCCACTGCTCCCAGCCATTATATAGCTATTTTAAAAACTACTTGTAGTACATGTGTGTATACCACGTATACCTTTTTTTCCCTATATACTTTTAAAATCATTTATTCTTTTTGCTGGATTTGGAAGAGTGGGGAAATTTCTTTTTAAACTAAAAGAACGTCCTGATAGACATACTTTAAAATGCTAATTTGATCTGCATCAGGCTTTTTTAAGGGTTGTGAAAAATCTTAACAGTTTAGATTTTTTCAGAAGGTATATTCTGCTATGCAGATAGTGAGTTTGTGCTTTCATATACTTCACAGCTTTATACAAACCTAGTAAAAAGTTACTGCTTTGCATTGTACCTAGGAATACCACAGTGATACTAATAGGTACCTTTGTTAAAATATTAAACATTACCAGTTGTCTCTACCTAACAGATACTAGTGCTGATTTTTTTTTTTTTCTTTTTTGAGATAAGATTTCACTCTGTGGCCCAGGCTAGAGTGCAGCGGTATGGTCCTAGCTCAGTGTAACCTGGAACTCCTGGGCTCCAGTGATCCATTCACCTCAGCCTCCCACGTAGCTGAGACCACAGGTATCCGCCACCATGCCCAGCTATTTATTTATTTTTTTAAGAGATGGAATCTCGCTATGTTGCCCAGGCTGGTCTCAAATTCCTGGGCTCAAGTGATCCCCCTGCCTCAGCCTCCCAAAGTGCTGGGATTATAAGTGTGAGCTGCTGCACAGCCAATGTTGATTCTTTTTTTTTTTTTCTTTTTTTTTTTTGAGGCAGAGTCTCACTCTGTCGCCCAGGCTGGAGTGCAGTGGTGCAATCTCGGCTCACTGCAACCTCCACCTCCCGGGTTCAAACGATTCTCTTGCCTCAGCCTCCTGAGTAGCTGGAATTACAAGCATGCACCACCACACCCGGATAATTTTTGTATTTTTAGTAGAGACAGGGTTTCGCCGTGTTGGCCAGGCCATTCTCGAGCTCCTGACCTCAGCTGATCTGCCTGCCTCAACCTCCCAAGGTGTTAGGATTACAGATGTGAGCTACTGCGTTGGCCCCAGTGTTGATTTTTATAAGTGGACAAGCATCTGTGTATTCATTATTGTGACAGAACACAACGTCTGTAAAGACACAGTGCCTTTCCTAGTGGTAGACCCAATTATAACCATAATTCCTATAGGAACTTATAGTCAGCCGCATTCTGAACAGATAGGCAGACCGTACCATGGAAATAAAACACAAAAATGTACATTCAGACAATGGAAGGAGTGACTTTTACACATGTTCCAGATCGAATGTCTATTTTTAAATGTTACACCAATTCTACTTTAAGAACTTGATTGTGGCCAGGTGCGGTGGCTCACACCTGTAATCCCAGGACTTCAGGAGGCCAAGGTGGGTGGATCATTTGAGTCCAGGAGTTTGAGACCAGCTTGGCCAACATGATGAAACCCCGTCTCTACAAAAAATACAAAAATTGGCCTGGTGTGGTGGCGCACGCCTGTAATCCCAGCTACTTGGTGTGCTGAGACAGGAGAATCGCTTGAACTCAGGAGGCGGAGGTTGCAGTGAGCCAAGATTGTGCCACTGCACTCTAGTCTGGGCAGTGATAAAGTGAGACTCCATCTCAAAAAAAAAAGAACTTGATTGTGGTCTCTTAGTTTTGCAGATATTTTAACTGGCAGTGGGGAAAGTTTTAATTTCTGTAGTTGTGTTTTTTTAGGACTGCAAAGGTATGGTGTCCAACATACTTTTTTGGGGGTTGTAGTAGTTTGTATGAGCCTGGCTATGTTTTTCATAATGTTACAAAAAAATGTACCAATGACAATTGATTTCAAATTTGTTTCTACTTCCTTGGGGGAATTTATTTCTTTCTGTCTGTCTTTTTGTCTGTCTTTCTTTCTCTCTTTCTCGCTCTCTCTCGTCACTCTGTTGCCCAGGTTGAAGTGCAGTGGCGCGATCTCGGCTCACTGCAACCTCCGCTTTCTGGGTTCAAGCGATTCTCCTGCCTCAATCTCTCCAGTAGCTGGGGTTATAGGCATGTGCCACGACGTCCGGCTAATTTTTGTGTTTTTAGTAGAGATGGGGTTTCGCCATGATGGCCAGGCCGGTCTCGAACCCCTGACCTCAGGTGATCCGCCTACGTCAGGCTCCCCAAGTGCTGGGATTACAGGCATGAGCCACCGCGCCTGGCCCCTTGAGGGAATTTCTAACTGAAATCTCATCAGGCCATTGTGACAGGCAGGTTTACTCTGTGCCTGTCTGTGTGCTGAAGATGGTGGTTCTGAGTCTGGATCTCTTTGAGTATTGAGCCACCCACATGCACGCAGATGTCTACATAACGTGTCTGGGAGTTCATGGGGTCCTAGAATGCGTTTGGTCAGCCAAGAAAACAAAATTAATGAAAATACCACACTCTCCCCACTTAGAGCTCAGCTAGTGGAGCTTTAGACTAATGGGGTTTGAAGAGCAGCTTAATACTCATTTGACTTAACAGCCACTTTCATTTTGGGTGTGTTTTTCAAAAGCAGATCTGCATTCTGCCCCTCCTGATGTCACCACGGGCCTCGTGGAGCATTCATACTTTGAGCGTCCGCAGGTGGCTTCTGTGAGAAGTGTTCCTCGGGGGTGCAGCGGGAGCATGCTGGAAACAGCAGATGGTGAGCATGCCTCTCTTTCTCCTTGTGAAACGGCAGAGCACAGGTTTTGTCTTCGAGTATTGAACACAGTTTTAATGGATTCAGTGTAGCAAACCCAAGCCAACCATCAGTTTTAATCTGTACAGATAAATGGAAACCAGTGTGTGCAGTTAATGTTATGGAAAGCATCAGGTGGAGAAATAATTGGAAATATCAATGGAATTGGTCAGAGGGGGAACAAGGAGAGTGGGGAGGGAAAAGACTTCCAAATTTAGATAGGATGCAAAAGGAGTTTTGATCTGCAATATAGTAGGGAAATGAGAAGCTGTGGGAAGTTTCTTTATTTAGATTCAATGTGGCAGACAGAATGACTTAGTCAGTGCAAGTGCACACACCCACCTGTGACAGAACAGCCCCTACACTCTCCATCCTCAGCAGCCTGTGAAGTTGGTACAGCAGCAGTCATGGCTTCCCACGTACAGGCTCAGAGATGTCGGTGTAACTTTCATCGTGTCCTCATTTATACCATTTCTTTTTGAAATAGTCTTCAATGTCTTATCAAAATCATGTCCTTTTTTTCCCCAAAATAATAAATAAAAATTCAGAGGAGCTCAGAGCTGGGGCCTGTCATATATTTTGGTACTCCCAAACAGGGTGTCAGATTTTGTCGAGGGCTTTCATCTCTTTGTCCAGAGGCAGAAGAAAAATACTGAATCAACATGAAGCAGGCTGTACATTGGTTAGACATGTTTTTAATTGAATTTATTACTCTTTATATTTTAAAAGATTAAGAGTTTAATGAAAGGGTAATTGACATAATGAATTGCACATATTTAAAGTGTACAGTTTCGGCCAGGCACGGTGGCTCACACCTGTAATCCCAGCTCTTTGGGAGACCGAGGTGGGTGGATCACCGAGGTCAGGAGATCCAGAGCAGCCTGACTAACACAGTGAAACCCTGTCTCTACTAAAAATACAAAAAATTAGCCGGGTGTGGTGGTGGGCATCTGTAGTCCCAGCTACTCGGGAGACTGAGGCAGAAGACTCACTTGAACCCGAGGCGGAGGTTGCAGTGAGCTAAGATCATGCCACTGCACTCCAGCCTGGGCGATAGAGTGAGACTCTGTTCTCAAAAAAAAAAAACAAAAATTAAAGTGTACAATATTGTAAGTTTTAGGACATTGGTACACCTGTGAAAGCATCACTACAATCAAGATAATGACCATATCCAGCATGCCCAAAAGTGTCCTTGTGTTCCTTTTTTTGAGGTCCTCCCTGTTCGGATCCTTTGGCTCTCCCCGTACACTTTAGGGAACCACTGATTTACTTTCTGTCACTTTAGATTAGATTGCATTTTCTAGAATTTTATATAAATGGAATCATACAGCATTTACGTTTATGGTCTGGCTTCTACCACTCTCCATAATTATTTTGAGATTCATTCATGTTCTGTGTCAATAGTTTACTCCTTTTCATTGAGTAATATTTTATTAGATGGATGCACCGCAATTTGTCTATTCACCTGTTGATGTGCATTTAGGTTGTTTCTAGTTTGGGGCTGTTACAAGTAAAGCTGCTATGAATAATCAATCTTGTACAAGTTTTTGCATAGATGGGTACTTTCATTTCTTTTGGGTCAATACCTGGAAGTAGAATGGCTGAATTATATTGTAGGTGTATTTTAACTTCTGTTTTGGGGACCGAGTTTCACTCTGTTGCCCAGGCTAGAGTGCGGTGGCATGATCTTGGCTCACTGAAACCTCCCCATCCTGGGTTCAAGCGATTCTCCTGCCTCACCCTCCTGAGTAGCTGAGATTACAGGCATGTGCCACCATGCCCAGTTAATTTTTGCATTTTCAGTAGAGATGGGGTTTCACCATGTTGTGCAGGCTGGTCTCAAACTCCTGGCCTCAAGTGATCCACCTGCCTTGGCCACCTAAAGTGCTGGGATTACAGGTGTGAGCCACCATGCCCACCCTATTTTTAACTTTTTAGGAAACTGTCACGCTGTTTTCCAAAGTGATTGTACCATTTTACATTCTCATTATTAGTAGTGAGAGTATTCCTCCACACCCTTTTCAACAGTTGGTATTATGCTTAAAAAATTTTAACCATCCCAATAGGTATGTAGAAATACCTCATTACCGTTTCAATTTGCACTTCCCTAATGGCTGATGGTGTGTTGAGCATCTTTTCATGTACCTATTTGCCATCTGTGTATCTTTTTTTTTTTTTGAGACGGAGTCTCGCTCTGCTGCCCAGGCTGGAGTGCAGTGGCCAGATCTCGGCTCACTGCAAGCTCCGCCTCCCAGGTTTATGCCATTCTCCTGCCTCAGCCTCCCGAGTAGCTGGGACTACAGGCGCCCGCCACCAAGCCCAGCTAGTTTTTTTGTATTTTTTAGTAGAGACGGGGTTTCACCGTGTTAGCCAGGATGGTCTCGATCTCCTGACCTCGTGATCTGCCTGTCTCAGCCTCCCAAAGTGCGGGGATTACAGGCTTGAGCCACCGCGCCCGGCCCCATCTGTGTATCTCTTTAGGGAAAGTATCTGTTCATACTTTTTGCCTTTTTTTTTTTTTAATTGTGCTTATTTCCTTTCTTTTTCTTTCTTTCTTTCTTTTTTTTTTTTTTGAGATGGAGTTTCACTGTCACCCGGGCAGAGTGCAGTGGTGCAATCTTGGCTCACTGCAACCTCCACCTCCCAGGTTCAAGCAATTCTCCTGCCTCAGCCTCTCGAGTAGCTGGGATTACAGGCACGTGCCACCATGCCTGACTAATTTTTATATTTTTAGTAGAGACAGGGTTTTGCCATGTTGGCCAGGCTGGTCTTGACCTCCTCATCTCTGCCTGCCTTGGCTTCCCAAAGTGCTGGGATTACAGTGTGAGCCACTGTGGCCAGCCAAATTGTGCTTGTTTTCTTACTGAGTTTTGAGGGTTGTTTATATATTCTAGATACAAGTCATCCCATATGAGGTTTATCATTTGTATTTTCTCCCAGTCTGGCTTGCTTTAACAGTGCCTTTCAAAGAGGAGATGGTTTAAATTTTTATGACATTCAGTTTACCAAATTTTTTAATGGATTGTGCTTTTGTGTCATACCTAAGAAATTTTTGTCTAACCCAGGGTCACAAATGTTTTCTCCTTTATTTTCTTCCAGAATTTTATAGTTTTAGTTTTTACATTTAGCTAAATAGTTCATTTTGAGTTAATTTTAGCATAAGTATCAGGTATGAATCAAAGTTTACATTTTTGTATGTGGCTATTCAGTTGTTCTAGCACCATTTATAATAAAGACCATTCTTTCCCCACCAAGTTCCTTGGCATCTTTAATGAAAATCAGTAGACCATGTTGGAGAGGGAAGGGTCTATTTCTGGGCTCTGTATGTTGTTCCATTTCCTTATTTATCTGTCCTTACACCTTGTATAGCCATGACTACTGTGATTTTCTTAAAATTCTTGAAATTATACAGTTGGAATCCTCCAACTCTGCTTTTTCTCTTTTCTTTTCTTTTTTCTTTTTTTCTTTTTTTTTTGACAGAGTCTTGCTCTGTCACCCAGGATGGAGTGCAGTGGTGTGATCTTGGCTCACTGCAACCTCTGCCTTCTGGTTTCGAGCAATTCTCCTGCCTTAGCCTCCCAAGTAGCTGGAACTCCAGGCAACTGCCACCACTCTTGGCTAATTTTTTTTTTCTTTACTGCAGGTGCACACCACCAACCTTGGCTAATTTTTGTATTTTTTAGTAGAGACGGGTTTTTGCCATGTTGGCCAGGCTGGTCTCAAAATCAAGTGATCTGCCCACCTTGGACTCCCAAAGTGCTGTAATTACAGGAGTGAGCCACTGTGCCCGTCCCCCGCTTTTTTTTTTTTTTTTTTTTTTAAATAGCGATTCTGTTGCCCAGGCTGGAGTTCATTGACATGATCATGGCTCACTGCAGCCTGAAACTCCTGGACTCAAGCAGTCCTTCCTCTACAGCCTCCTAAGGAGCTGGGACTGCAGGCACAAGCCACCACATCCAGATAATTTTTTATTTTTAAAATTTTTTGTAGAGACAGGGTCTTGCTATGTTGACCAGGCTAGTCTTAAACTTCTGGCCTTAAGCGATCCTCTGCTGCCTTAGCCAACCAAAGTGCTGGGATTACAGCCATGAGTCACTGCTCCCGGCTGGCAAATGACTTCTTTTTTTGTGTGTGAAGAAGTCTTGCTCTTTCACGCAGGCTGGAGTGAGTGGCGCAATCTCGGCTCACTGCAAGCTCCACCTTGGGTTCACACCATTCTCCTGCCTCAGCCTCCCGAGTAGCTGGGACTACAGGCGCCTGCCACCACGCCCAGCTAATTTTTTGTATTTTTAGTAGAGATGGGGTTTCACTATGTTAGCCAGAATGGTCTCAATCTCCTGACCTCATGATCCACCCACCTTGGCCTCCCAAAGTGCTGGAATTACAGGACCATGGCTTCTTAACATTACCATGGAATAGTTGTGACCTCATAAACTTCCTGAAAGGGTCTTGGATGCCCCAGGGGTCCCTGGACCATTTAAAAAACTGCTAGTTTAGGCTGGGCGTGGTGGCTCATGCCTGTAATCCCAGCGCTTTGGGAGGCCGAGGCAGGTGGATCACAAGGTCAAGAGATTGAGACCATCCTGGCCAACATGGTGAAACCCTGTTGCTACTAAAAATACAAAAATTAGCGAGCATGGTGGTGCACACCTGTAGACCCAGCTACTCGGGAGGCTGAGGCAGGAGAATAGCTGTAACCTGGGAGGCGGAGATTGCTGTGAGCTGAGATCACACCACTGCACTCTAGCCTGGCAACAGTAAGACTCTGTCTAAAGCAAAAAAACAAAAACAAAAACAAACTGCTAGCTTAGAACAAGTCCTGATTCCTGGAAGGCATTCAATAAGTGTTTTCTAAATGAATTAATTCCAAAATGACTGTCCAGTGGGGCCCACACTTGGACGGATTTGTAAGCTCTGATGCATCGTGTGGCTTGTTCTTGGGCCTTAACACCTGTGTCCACTTCTCCAGAGGTTGTGATGTGTCCTGGCCTCAGTGCTCCTCTGTCTTTCCCGTGACAGGTGTCCCTGTGAACAGCAGAGTGTCCTCCAAAATCCAGCAGCTTCTTAACACCCTGAAGAGGCCAAAGCGCCCTCCGTTGAAGGAGTTCTTTGTGGATGATTTTGAGGAATTGTTGGAAGGTAAGAGTTGTCCAAATTTGAGCTTCTGTGTTTGTATGAAAAGGGTGGCCATGAAGTTGAGAAACAGGGCAAATGTATATTATACAGGGTTATTGCTATATATATTCTGTTTCCAGACTCAGTGGTCACTGTGTATAATGGTAAATTTAGAATCACATGACTGCTTCCTTTATTTGAGCAGGTAGAAAATTTACTGCTCATATTCAAGTGACTTAGCATTTTGTAAAAATACTTCTAAGGTTTTATTTAACTTACATTATTTAAATTTTTAATTTAAACTTTAACTCTGAAATACTCATCTTGTGGTTTTAAAGTGTTCAATTTTCAGCATAGATTTGGCTGCTTTTCAGAATTTTAGCCTCATATATGAATGAAATACATATTTAGAAAGAAAGAATATACATATATTTTTTAAAAAGAAAACTAGCAAGAAGCAGAAACCAGAAATGAAGCCAGTACAAGCGTGTGAGTGTGTTGTTAGAGCCCCGGGACCCCCGTGCTGGTCCCACTCTCAGACCTTGGCGGTTTGTACAGTGTCACTGCTGGCAGCAGACCAGCCCAGGGTCTCCTCCACACCCCAGGATTAGACAAAGGTTTTAGGAGATTATTTCCCCTTTGTAATCAGATAGTGTGTATTAGTCAGGGTTCTCTAGAGGGACAGAACTAATAGGATAGATGTATATATATAAACGGAGGTGTATTAAGGCATATTGACTCACACCATCACAAGGTGAGGTCCCACAATAAGCCGTCTGCAAGCTGAGAGCAAGGAAGCCAGTCTGAGTCCCAAAGCTGAAGAACTTGGAGTCCAGTGTTCGAGGGCAGGAAGCATCCAGCACAGGAGAAAGGTGTAGGCTGGGAGGCTAAGCCAGTCTAGTCTTCCCACATTCTTCTGCCTGCTTTTGTTCTGGCCACACTGGCAGCTGATTAGATTGTGCCCACCCAGATTGAGGGTGGGTCCGCCTTTCCCAGTCCGCTGACTCAAATGTTAATCTCCTTTGGCAACACCCTCACAGACACACCCAGGAAGAATACTCTGCATACGTCAGTCCCATCAGGTTGACATCAGTATTAGCCATCACGCAGTGCCTTTCAAATTCAGAGTTTGTTGGTGTGAATGCATCTTAGAGCAGTGTTTCTTACCACTTGGGCAAATTTTGGTTATACAGCTCCTGGAAGAAGATTAAAGTAATTCTTTTTAAAGTAAAAAACAAGATTAAAGTAATCTTTTTCCGGGAGCTATATAATCAAATAATCCTTTTTTTTTTTTTTTTTTTTTTTTTTAGAGACAGAATCTTGCTCTGTCACCTAGGCTGGAGTGCAGTGGTACGATCTCAGCTCACTGCAAGCTCCACCTCCTGAGTTCACGCCATTCTCCTGCCTCAGCCTCCCGAGTAGCTGGGACTACAGGCGTCCACCACCACGCCTGGCTAATTTTTCTTTTTTTAAGTAGAGACGGGGTTTCACCATATTGGCCAGGATGGTCTCGATCTCCTGACCTCATGATCCTCAGCCTCCGAAAGTGCTGGGGTTACAGGCATGAGCCACCACGCCCGGCCTATAATCATTTAATCTTTTATGTGTTTTTCTTTGAACATGGTGATAGTTGTTTGGATCCCTAGGCTGACGTGGTGGTTCTGCTTGCTTTCCTCCTGTCTGAGTGGGCCACCAGGTCCTGTCCCCAGGCTACGGATACCTGGCTGTTCACTGCTGTGGTGCCGGGGGTAGTAGAGGTGACACAGACCTGTCCAGAGGTTGGGAAAGTGGGAACCACTCCAAGGTCACCTTTGTCTGTGAGGCTGTGGTCACCAGGATGGTGGGTTGTTTTTAACTTTATTTCACAACCATCATCATCCATGACTAAAGCTCCTGTAATCCTTTGGTTAGTTGTCAGTGATTGTGATGCAAAGATCTAAACAAATTATTGTAAGCTTTTTTATAGTTGGGATTAAAAAACAGTATTATAAACTATGAATGCTTAAAAAGAGAATGTGTTCATGGTGCTCTGAATTGCTGATTTTAAAATTTTGATTTTGCTTGTAGTTCAGCAACCAGATCCAAATCAGCCGAAGCCTGAGGGAAGTGAGACGAGCGTGCTGAGGGGGGAGCCTCTCACTGCAGGTGTCCCCCGACCACCGTCACTGTTGGCCACCTTGCAGCGCTGGGGCACAGCACAGCCCAAATCCCCCTGTCTGACTGCCTTGGATACGACTGGGAAAGCCACCTACACTCTCACCTATGGCAAGTGTTAACAGAAAGCGCTTGTGCTTGTGAGTTAGCTGTGGAATGTCACACACGTATCACAGCATAGACATACAGCTTGACAAATATTCCTGAGAAACCAGCACAGCTGGCAGATCAGTAGAACATTGACCTATATCAACTACCCATTCCTCCAGAGGGCCCCACTTACTGATGCGTGGTGACTGCCATTGCTCTGGGCTCGAGTGTTTGGAGCATTCTATGTATACATTCTGACCCATGTAGTTTAGTTTCGTCTTGTTTTCAACTTTGTGTAAGGGGAATCATGCAGTATGTATTTTTGTGTATGTGGCATCTTTTGGTTCCATACTATGTTTTCTTTTGTAACACAAATAGTAAGCATGTCTACAGCCTGATGAATCCACAGAGTGGACGTGGTCCTGTCATCAGCACTCCAAGCAGAAGTGTTGCTAGGTTCAGAGCCCCTCACACCCCCACACATGAAGGGTAACTGCTGTCCTGACTGCGCACACTGTTGGCTTTCCCTGCTTTTAAACAGGTGTTCTTTAGTTTATTCTCATCGAAGGGTATTATTTTATCGTGTGAATATACTAGAACTTATTTACACACTGCCAAGTAGATGGACATTTGTGTCGTTTCCACTTTGGGGCTATTGTATATAGTGCGGTTAGGAGCATGTTTATGTGAGTCTCTTGGTGAGAATATGGAGGTGTTTGTGCCAGGTATAAATGCAGAAGCAGAATTGTTCAGCATTAGGACATACTGCTGAGCAGTTTTCCACAGGCAGTGCAGCAGTTTTCACTCCCACAGCCAGTGAGTACATGAGGAGTTCCAGTTACTCTTTTCTCACCAGCTTGTGATATTGTTTATTTCGTTACAGTCTTTGTTATAGGTGTGTTGTAGCACAGGCTAATTTGCATTTGCCTGGTGACAAATTATTTTCATATGCTTATTGATTGGCATTGCATTGAATCTCTAGTTCAATTTGAATAGAATTAATGTTTTATAGGTTGAGAACATCCCAAATATGAAAATCCAAAATCCAAAATGCTCTAAAATCTGAAACTGCTTGAAGCTGACATGATACTCAAAGAAAAAGGTCATTGAAACATTTTAGATTTCTGATTTTTGGACTTGTGATGTGATGCTCAACTGGGAAGTAAATATAATGCAAATATTCCAAAGCCTAAAAAAATTTGAAATCCCAACACTTCTGATCTCAAGCATTTCAGATAAGGGATACTCAACCTGTATTACAATTATGGAATCTTCCGGTTTATGACTATGGAATGTTTTCCCCTTTTTAAAGGCCTGCTTTAATTTCTCTCAGTGATGTTTTCATACTTTGGAATACAGAAGTCTTGAGCATCTTTTATTAGATTTATTCCTATTACAAGTGCTATAATTTTTCATTTTCTCTACTGATTTGTTGCTTATATATGTAAGTGCAATCTATATTATTATTATTTTAAAATGATGACTTTGTGCCAGGCGCGGTGGCTCACGCCTGTAATCCCAGGACTTTGGGAGGCTGAGGCAGGCGGATCACGAGGTCAGGAGACCAAGACCATCCTGGCTAACATGGTGAAACCCCGTCTCTACTAAAAAAAAGTACAAAAATTAGCCGGGCGTGGTGGCGGGCGCATGTAGTCCCAGCTACTCGGGAGGCTGAGGCAGGAGAATGGTGTGAACCCGGGAGGTGGAGCTTGCAGTGAGCTGAGATCGAACCACTGCACTCCAGCCTGGACGACAGAGCGAGACTCCATCTCAAAATAAATAAATAAATAAAATAAATAAAAATAAAAAATGATGACTTTGTATCCAGTGATCTCACTGAGTTAGCTTATTAGTTCTTCGTTTACTCATAATTAGTTGTTTGTCTATATATCTTTTGTATTATCTGTCTACAAAAATCACATTATTGGTGAACAATGATAGTGTTATTTTGTCCTTTCCAATACTTATACTTTTATTCTTTTTTTTTTTTTTGCTTTTTTGCACAAGCTAGAACCTCCAGTACAGTGTGAAATAGAACAATGTTGAAGAGTGGGCATTCTTGCCTGTTTTTCCATCTGAGGAAAAGCCTGTGGTAATTAAGTATGATGTTTTCTGTAGTTTTGTTTGCTTGTTTGTTGGTAGAAACTCTGTCAGATTAAGACGGTTCTCTTCTCCCTGTTTGTTAGAAGTTGTTATCATGAGTTGGGACGGAATTTTGTCAAATGCTTTCTCTGCTGCTAGCAAGATGATCATATGGTTTTCCTCCTTCATTAATTTGGTGAATTATTTTGATTAATTTTCTAATGTAAAGCAGCCCTTCATTTGTAGAATAAATCCCACTTGGCTTTAATATTTTACCCTTTTAGCTATACACCCAGGTTTGATTTGCCAATAAGTTGTTTAGGATTTTCACATCTGTTTTCATTAGAAAAATTGTTCTGTAATTTTTAAGAAAGGCGCTCATTGCCAGGCTTTGATGAGTATGGCTAGCTCACAACCTCCAACTGTTAAATCAGCGTTCAAATCTAGGTCATGCTATTGGCAGGGCAGTCCCTGGCCGATGGCCAAGTAAGGCAGTGGGACAAGGGCCTACTTTCTGTTAGCATGGACTTTCCTTATAAACAGCACTGGACTTGTGGAGACCGTCAGTTCTACATTGTGGCTTGACAGCTCCTCCTGCCCAGTCTTGCTACCTGTCTTTTGCTGTCACAGATTTGTATTCTCTAGGAATCCTTTTGACTGCCTGAGCCTGTCTCAGCGTCTGCTTTGCGAAGAACCCAGCCTGTGACACACTTCTTTTTTTTTTTTTTTTAACGTTCTCCTTGGCTTGTAGTTTGTCTGCATTTATATACAGAGTGTAAGATATCACTACCATTGTGTTTATTTTTTTTTTTTTGAGACAAGGTTGTGCCCGGTCACCCAGGCTGGAGTGCAGGGACGTGAGCTCGGCTCACTGCAAACTCCACCCCCCAGGCTCAGGCGATCCTTCCACCTCAGCCTCCCTAGTATCTGGGACCACAGGCACACACCATCATGCTCGGGTACTTTTTTGTATTTTTAGTATAGTCGAGGTCTCGCCGTGTGGCCTGGGCTGGTCTCAAACTCCTGAGCTCCAGCAGTCTGCCTGCCTCAGCCTCCCAGAGTGCTGGGATTACAGGCGTGAGCTCCCATGCCCGGCCCATTGTTTTTTGTTTGTTTGTGTTTTTAATCAGTCGTACATTTCTATTCTTTTACTATGTACATTCCTTCCTGCGATTCTGTATTTTCCTGGGTAATCATTTCCTTCTGGCCTGTGGAACTTCCTGTATGTTCATTATACTGTAGGTTTGCTGGCAACTTCATTTTTTAAGGTTATATTTCGTGGTTATTTATCTTCTTTCAGCAGTGCAAAGGTATGGTTACTGGCTTTTGAGAAGATGCCAGACCATTGTTACTCTCTTGACAGTAATGTGTATGGCTGCTTAAAAAAATGTTCTTTTTCTTTGAATTGCAGCCATCTTACTATGACATATTTAGAGGTGATGTTCTTTGAACATTTCCTGTGATGTTCTTTGAAATTTTCAAGATGTCCACAGGGCTTCTTGAATCTGTAGAATGGTGTCTTCTATCTGTTTGAGAAAAATTATAGCCATCTTCTCTTCCTGTATTGCTTCTTCCTCATTTTTTTCTTCTCTCCTTCTGGGACTCCAGTTACACTTATACTTTTTTCACACATGCAAAGAGCTGTGTATTCCCCTACAACTGCCATTAGCTACCTCCAAAGTATATTTCCTACCTGGTTACTATACTAAAGCTCTCTCAGAATGTGAAGTCAAAACCGTCACATAACACAGTGCTGTACAACAGAGCAGAGCCTTAGATTTTGAGATTTTAAATTTTAAATTTCTGGGATTTCATGAGGAAAACAGAGGTTCTTCCCAAAATGGGGTCTGTGGTGCCTCCTCTGTTTCCCCCAAGGAGTCCCAGGCTGTTAAACCTTGAATATCTGCTTTTAAGCTGACTTTTAACCATAGTGCTCTTTTATTTTTTTATTTTTTTAATTAGTTAATTTTTTTTTTTTTTCCGAGATGGAGTTTTGCTCTTGTTGCCCAGGCTGGAGTGCAGTAGCGCGATCTCAGCTCGCCACAACCTCTGTCTCCCTGGTTCAAGTGATTCTCCTGCCTCAGCTGGGGTTACATGTATGCACCACCATGCCCGGCTAATTTTGTATTTTTATTAGAGACGGGGTTTCTCCATGTTGATCAGGCTGGTCTCAAACTCCTGACCTCAGGTGATCCACCCGCCTCGGCCTCCCAAAGTGCTGAGATTGCAGGTATGAGCCACCACGCCCAGCATTTTTTTTTTTTTTAATTTATTTTTTAATTTTTTTGAGGTGGAGTCTCACTCTGTCTCCCAGGCTGGAGTGCAGTGGCGTGATCTTGGCTCACTGCAACCTCCGCCTCCCAGGTTCAAGCAGTTCTCCTGCCTCAGCCTCCTGAGTAGCTAGGATTACAGGCGTGCACTTGGCTAATTTTTTGTTTTTCTTTGTATTTTTAGTAGAGACGGGGTTTCATCATGTTGGCTAGGCTGGTCTTGAACCCCTGACCTTGTGATCCACCCATGTGAGCTTCCCAAAGTGCTGGGATTACAGGCATGAACCACTGCACCCAGCCCATAGTGTTTTTTTAAAAAAGTCCTTTTAAATCTCTTATTACCCAACTTCAGCCAGCATTTACGGCCAATATTTCTGAGTTTGGAACTTTACCAAAGGTAACCTCCTAGGTGAAAACAATAAACCTTAGCCAATAAGCTGTAGTATTGGGCACTTGGACTATTCCCAGAAGTCCAGAGCATCTAATTCTGAGCTTGCAAAGGTTTTTAACTGCTCGAGATAACCTTTAGAGCTAACTACAACACGAACCCTCAAATTGCTGTTCACTCGATGGTGGAAACCAAGAGAAAGTACCTCCATGTAGTTACAAGTCAACTCCCAAGGACATTTTTCAACATGTGGTCTCTGGGCAAGATGAAGGAGCAGACAGTTGCCCTGAGTAACAGAAAAGATGGAAAAGAGAAAGGGAGAAAAGCATTGCCTATAGCAGGATGGGAAAGGTGAGGAGCTCAGGGAGGCCAGAGAAAGACCCACCCATTGCAGCGACACTGAATCAAAAGTTCAGGTGGCCATTTGTCAGTAATGAAGGGCTCTTTTCCAGCAGTCCCATCAGCTCTGGAGTTTCCCCTTTTGGGGAGAAAAAATGCTCCCATGTTCCATGATCCTGTACATGCCTAACCTTGTCACCCAAAGTGGTCAGCAAAGAGTGCAAGGCAGATGAATCCAAAGAGAATAGTGGTTAACGTTCTGTAGTGCCAGATCCATTCTTGGCCGAGAGGGACTTTACTGAAGGGGGGCCTCTAACCCCCTGTATCTTAGGAAGGACTGTAACCTTCCCAGGTTGGGCCTTGAACGCAGGTTTGTTCAAGTGCCCTTGCCTTTTATTAAGAGGGGCCTTTAACCCACTCTGTCTTAGGAGAAATTCTGACTCCCCTAAGTTGGGCCTCTAACCCAGTTCCATCCTTTACCCCGGTAAATGCACCCCACTTACCCAAAGTCGGCCATTTGGTGCTGTGGTCTTACTTCCTTCAGGTCGGGGGTCTCCTCAGTATTACCCCTTTGGAATTCACCAGGAAGATGTTACCAGAAAGGGATCCTGTTCAGACCCCAAGAGAGGCTTCTTGGACCTTGTGCAAGAAAGAATTCAGGGCAAGTCAATATAGTAAAGTGAAAGCAAGTTTATTAAGAAAGCAAAGGAATAAAAGAATGGCTACTCCCTAGGCAGAGCAGCTGCACGTTTTCTAATATAGGATCATTTATAGGAATTTTTTATATTATATTCTGGATACCAGCCCTTTGTCAGTAATACCTTTCAAGAGTTCTGTCCCACTTTGTGGCTGGCTTTCCACTAATGGTAGCTTAGTGAACAGAAGTTCTATCCATCTTCTTTTCTTGCATGATTTTTGCTTTTTGCTTTTTTGTTTTGTTTTGTTTGTTTTTTGAGACAGTGTCTCACTCTGTTGCACAGGCTGGAGTGCAGTAGCGTGATCTTGGTTCTCTGCAGCCTCTGCCTTCCAGATCAAGCGATTATTATCCCTCAGCCTCCCAAGTAGCTGGGACTACAGACGTACACCACCAGGCCCGGCTAATTTTTTGTATTTTTAGTAGAGTCAGGGTTTCACTGTGTTGACCAGGCTGGTCTTGAACTCCTGACCTCAGGTGATCCACCTGCCTTGGCCTCCCAAAGTGCTGGGATTACAGGCGTGAGCCGCCATGCCTGGCCCGATTTTTGCCTTTTATGTTCTCCTTAAGTGCTGTTTCCCTTGGCTGAGATCAAAACATTATTCCATTAATTTGGGAAAATGCTGTTGTTTTGCTGTTCACATTTCGGTCTGTCATTCACCTGGAATGCGTTTTTGTGAATGGTGTGGGACTGGGTTCCAGGGTTCATTGCTAAAGAAGGATAACCAGCTGTCCCGTTCTGATCTAAGGAGAAGACAGCCCTTGCCCCACTCCTCTGTGGTGGCACATGAGTCCTCAGTGAGTTGTCCACACACGGGTGGATCTGTTTTGCTGTTCTCTGTTTTATTTCATTGATTTGTATTCTATTCTTTGTGCCCATACCACACTCTCTTGATTGCCGTAGTTTTATAGTAAGTCTTGACATCTGTAGCGAAAGCCCGCCGTCTTGTTTTCTTCAAGAGCATCTTGCATGCTCACTGTGGCAGCACATACACTAAAACTGGAATGATGCAGAGAAGATGAGCATGGTATCTGTGCGAGAATGACACACATTTGTGAAGTGTTCCATATTAAAAAAAAAAAAGAGTGTCTTAGCAATTCTTACCCTGTGCATTTCAGGATCCACTTTAGAATGAGCTTGTCAGGTGTCACAGTATACTTACTGAGATTATGAGCATTGCTTTGAATGAGTCTAAAGAGAATTAATGCCTTTTCATTATTATTGTTGTTGTTGTTATTATTATTATTATTATTATTTTGAGATGGAGTTTCGCTCTTATTGCCTGGGCTGGAGTGCAATGGCGTGATCTCAGCTCACTGCAACCTCCGCCTCCCAGGTTCAAGTGATTCTTCTGCCTCAGTCTCCTGAGTAGCTGGGATTACAGGCGCCTGCCACCACGCCCGGCTAATTTTTTGTATTTTTAGTAGAGATGGGGTTTCACCATGTTGGCCAGGGCTGGTCTCGAACTCCAGACCTCAGGTGATCCACCTGCCTAGTCCTTCCAAAGTGCTAGGATTACAGGCGTGAGCCACCGCACCCGACCACCTTTCCATTACTGAGTCTTCCAGCCCTTGGACATCTGTCCCTCCATTCAAATATTTTTTACTTTATCTCAGTAATGTGTAATTTTCTGTGGGGAGATTTTGCATATTTCTTGTGACAGTCTCAGGTACTTAGTGTGTATGTGTTTTAATTTTGCGGTGGATACTTTCATCAAAAATTTTTATTTACTTTTTTTTTTTTTTTTTTGAGACAGAGTTTTGCTTTGTTGTCCAGGCTGGAGTGCAGTGGCACGATCTTGGCTCACAGCAACCTCCGCCTCCTGGCTTCAAGCAATTCTCATGCCTCAGCCTCCTGAGTAGCTGGGATTACAAGTGTCTACCTCCACACCCTCCTGATTTTTTGTATTTTAGTAGAGACGGGGTTTCACCATCTCACCCAGGCTGGTCTTGAACTCCTGAGCTCAGGCAATCTGCCCATCTTAGCCTCCCAAAGTGCTAGGATTACAGGTGTGAGCCACTGCGCCTGGCCTATTTACTCTTTATTGCTAGTATGTAGAAATCAAATTGTGTTTTTATGTTGATATATTTGGCAGCCTTGCTGAATTCAGTTATGGAAGATTCATAAACTACATCATCATGTCATCTGCAAATAATGGTAGTTACATTTCCAGTTGTTCAGCTTTTTCTCCCCTTTTGCATGGGCTAAGCCTTTCAGTAAAATGCTGAAAACAGACATCCTTAGCTTACTTCTCTCAGAGGGGAAGCTTTCAATAGCCAACCATTATGATATTTCCTGTTGGATTTCTAAAGGTGCTCCTTTTCACATTAAGGCGGTATATTTCCTTTTCTGAGTTTAAGAAGGATTTCAAAAATCATTTAAAATCATTTTAAAATCATGAATGATTTAAATTGCTTTTATTTTCTTCCATGTATTGATATGATTGTTTTATTTTTCACCTTTATTTTGTTAATATGGCAAATTATGTTGATTTTCTGTTGAACCTCTTTACATTCCTGGGATAAAACTGACTTGGTCATGATGCATTATTCTTTTTATGTACAGCTGGATTCAGTTTGAAATTCTTTATGCATTACAATTATTAACACCTTAAATTGACTTTTTAAAATAGGCTAAAACAGTGGTTTGAGTTGAGTTTTGTCTTTGTTTGTTTGAGAGGGAGTCTCACTCTCGCCCAGGCTAGAGGACAGTGGCACGGTCTTGTCTCACTGCAACCTCTGCCTCCTGGGTTCAAGCAGTTCTCCTGCCTCGGCCTCCTGAGTAGTTGGGATTACAGCATGTGCCACCACTCCCAGATAATTTTTTGTATTTTTAGTAGAGATGGGGTTTCACCGTGTTGACCAGTCTGGTCTCGAACTCCTGACCTCAGATGATCCACCCACCTCGGCCTCCCAAAGTGCTGGGATTAAAGGCATGAGTCACCGTGCCTGGCCTAGTATTTTTTTTTTCCTCGTTCATTCCTCAGGTCCCCCAGTTCACTTACTTCATAGTGTTGCACCTGAGCTTCATCTTATTACACGGGAAATTGAGCGCTCACTTGCAGGGCATGGCTGCTCAACCTGCTTGCAGTTGTACTGCAGGGACTTGAAGGGCTCAATAATGACTTTGTGTTGCTTCTTTGATAGGCTGCTTGGTGGGGGTGTGTTAAGGCTTCTGCAGGTGTGGGGCTTAGACTCATATTTCTCAGTCTTCCTGTCCCATGGTCACCCCTGCCTCGTGTCATCCTCTCCCGACACCCCCCGTCCTCTAGGCTTTTCCTTTCTCTGGTGTCCTGTCTTCCTCAGTGAAGCTCTCCCCTATTGAGTGCTTATGAACATAGCAGCTGTGCCAGGAGGGTATGTGATGGGAAGGGCCTTGGAGTAAGAGCTGGTTCTCCCCTATTGAGTGCTTGTGAACGTAGCAGCTGTGCCAGGAGGGTGTGTGATGGGAAGGACCTCGGAGTAAGAGCTGGTTCCTGGGCCCTGTGGCTGGTGTGAAGTCCCGATGGCTTTCCAAGTAAAGAATGGATGGCATTGATACCCGGATCACCTTTGGATCTGTTGCTTTTGTTTATATTGTCTCTTGATTTTTGGTCAGGGGAACTTCTCTTTGGGGATGCCTAGTATTTTAACATCTTAAATTTAACGTATTAAATTGGGAATTTAACATGTTAAAATAAAGATATGACCCATTTCGGCCGGGCGCGGTGGCTCAAGCCTGCAATCCCAGCACTTTGGGAGGCCGAGACGGGCGGATCACGAGGTCAGGAGATCGAGACCATCCTAGCTAACACAGTGAAACCCCGTCTCTACTAAAAAATACAAAAAAATAGCCAGGCAAGGTGGCGGGCGCCTGTAATCCCAGCTACTCGGGAGGCTGAGGCAGGAGAATGGCGCAAACCCGGGAGGCGGAGCTTGCAGTGAGCTGAGATCCGGCCACTGCACTCCAGCCTGGGCCACAGCGCCAGACTGCGTCTCAAAAAAAAAAAAAAAAAGATATGACCCATTTCATGAATTGTTGTGAAGATTAAATGAATTATGTACTACTCTTACAAATGATGTAATTGAGGGATATTTAATGTCATGAAAATCCATTTACACTGCAGTATTAATTGGAAAAGTAGGGTGAAGTATCTCATTTCTTGAAAATTATGCAGACATGTATACGTGCTTATATGTGTATAGTTGTATATGTGTGCACACATATGTACATATACATATGTATACCAAATACTGACTTTTTTCTGCTGGCTTTTTTTTTCTTTTTTTAAACAGTGTCTCTGTTGCCCAGGCTGGCTCTCACTACAACCTCCACCTCCCAAGTTCAAGCAGTTCTTGTGCCTTAGCCTCCCGAGTAGCTGGGATTACAGGCGCATGCCACCACGCTGAGCTAATTTTTTGTATTTTTAGCAGAGAGGGGGTTTTACCATGTTGGCCAGGCTGGTCTCAAACATCTGGCCTCAAGTGATCTGCCTGCCTCGTCCTCCCAAAGTACTGGGATTACAGGTGTGAGTCATTGCACTTGGCCTCTGCTGGCTCTTCTGTAGTCCAAATTTTCTATAATAAAATCCTGTTTTGTTTTTGTATTAAGAAAAATAAATCTGTAAGTTATTTTTAAGAGCCAACAATGATGTTCCTTACAACATTGTGCAGAATAGTTATTAGATGGAAACTACCTAAATTTCCACTAATGGGATTATGGTATATTATGGGGTATTTTGGTTTCTACATTAAATGTTAATTATTTGTTTCTTAACTTTTACATTGCTTAGTGTTTTTATTTTGTTTTAGGTAAACTTTGGAGTCGGAGTTTAAAACTAGCTTATACTCTACTTAATAAACTGACAAGTAAGAACGAACCTCTGCTTAAACCTGGAGACAGAGTAAGTAACTAGAATGTCACTTTGTTGGAATGAGCAAAAGCAGAGACTTCGATAATCTGTTTCATTGAAATTAGTGTTCCATCATTTAGTTAGAATTACAGCATTAATAAAAGGGATTTAAAATCAGCAGTGAATGCTGGACGCGGTGGCTCATGCCTATAATCTTAGCACTTAGGGAGGCCGAGGCGAGCGGATTGCCTGAGCTCAGGAGTTTGAGACCAGCCTGGGTAACATGGCAAAACCCTGTCTCTATTAAAAATACAAACAATTAGCTGGGCATCGTGGTGCGTGCCTGTAATCCCAGCTACCTGGGAGACTGAGGCATGAGAATCGCTTGAACCTGGGTGGTGGAGGTTGCAGTGAGCCAAGATCTTGCCACTGCACTCCAGCCTGGCGACAGAGTGAGAGTCCGTCTCAAAACAAACGACAACAAAATCAGCAGTGAAAAATATGGCAAAGTGGCCGGGCGCGGTGGCTCAAGCCTGTAATCCCAGCACTTTGGGAGGCCGAGACGGGCGGATCACGAGGTCAGGAGATCGAGACCATCCTGGCTAACACGGTGAAACCCCGTCTCTACTACAAAATACAAAAAAACTAGCCGGGTGAGGTGGCGGGCGCCTGTAGTCCCAGCTACTCGGGAGGCTGAGGCAGGAGAATGGCATGAACCCAGGAGGCGGAGCTTGCAGTGAGCTGAGATCCGGCCACTGCACTCCAGCCTGGGCGACAGAGCAAGACTCCGTCTCAAAAAAAAAAAAAAAAGAAAAATATGGCAAAGTTTGTGATGTAGAGTAAAGCAACATTCTTTTCCTGCACTCATTGTTTGTCCAGTGTTTCTTCATCTTCTTTTCTGTTTGACTTCATATATGTTAATATTAAAAATGTTAGATTCCAGAGCTTAGAATTTATGAATTAAAATCTAAAGTTCTGAAACCTTGCTATGAAACTCTGTATTTTTATCTCTTTCCCTATTCTATGTGTCCAGGTAACCTCCTTGTACCTATCTGCCAAAATGGGATGCTAGAGGCTTATTCTCTTGTGCTACACTGCCCTATATGGCTTTTGGGGCTATTTAAATTAGCAAAAATTAAATAAAATAAAAAATAGTTTCTCAGTTGCACAAGCCACATCTCAGGGGCTCAGTAGGAGTGTGGCTCGTAACTACAGTATTTATAGCTCATAGGTAGAACATTTCCGTCATCATAGAAAGTTCTTTGGGGCAGTACTGCTGTCGGGAAGCTGGCCCGGACCCGAGGGCCTCTGGTACACTGGAAAGTCCAGGGTGGAAAACAGCTGAGAACATGGTGAAAATCAATACACCAGTGAAATCCCGTAGTGAGAAGGTCACCTGTGTCAGATCACCTAACAAGTGAACTGCAGGTTAACAAGCTGGCAGGCGGTTCCAAGTAACTCTTTCAGTGCCTAACTCTTGTATGTGAACTATTAGCCAAGGACTTTTAAGAAGGAAATGTCAGTATGAGAGAAAATACCAAAAGACAAAGAAAAGGAAAGACGGGAGGGAGTGAGAAAGAGAGAGACAAGAAAAGTAAGGAAGGAAGGAAAGAGGAAGCAAACTTGAAGGAAAGCTAGATATAGAAAACAATGTTTCTAAAAAGTGAATATTAATATTCTTGGAAATCAGATGAAGATGTTTCATAAGTCAAGAAAAGGATGCCAGTAGGAAAGAGAGATGGAGAGTTTAGTAAAATAGGACAAAAAGACTCGATCAAGAAGACTCAACACGTGACTGATAACTGGAGTCCAGAAAGAGAAAGGAGAACAGAAAGTGAAACATTTTAAATGAATATAGTAATTCAGGACAATATCTCAGACCTGGAGAGTGTAACTATTCAAGGATATACACCAAACACATGCCCATAATATTGCATAATACTGGGGTACAGAAAAGAATCCCAGAGCATTCAGGGGAAAAGTAGGATGTACACAAAGGATCAGCAATGACAGTGGCTTTTGGGATTTCTCATTGGTAAAACTGGAAGAGAGTGGAGTGATGCTTCAAAAATTCAGAGGGAATACAATTTTTAACTTACAATTCTATTCCCAGAGATTCAACAGATTTGAGAATGGTATAGCCATTTTCAGACATGCAGGACTCAGAAACGTTTGGCTCACGAGCACTTTCTTGGCGAGTTCTTAGAAGATGTCCCTCAGCCACATGAGTGAGTAGGGTGCAAGCAGGGGGACCACAGTGGATATCCCCAGGACGATCACTGGCAGCAGTCCAGGGAGCAGCACAGCCACCATCAGGAGAACCGAGACCCCAGGGTGGGGTGGAGTCCTCAGCACCCACCATCAGGAGAACTGGGACCCCAGGGTGGGATGGAGTCCTCAGCACCCACCATCAGGAGAACTGAGACCCCAGGGTGGGATGGAGTCCTCAGCAGCAGGGGACATTCACGGCTCTCCTGAGTGGGTGGTTATTTGGAAAATGATACTGAAGGGTATTTGACCCATCTGAGGGAATATTTTAAAACAAATTAGCTAGAGAATACACAGAAAGCAACACAAGTAGAAAGAAAAGAAAGGAAATGTGTACTTGGCTATAAAAATGTAAACAGTTTAAGAATAATACTTTATGATATGTTGTGCTCATAGATGAGATTTTATGTAACGCTTTAGAATGAATTTAAGGATCACTAATTTTCTTGAAAAGCTTTCTTACAAGGATAAAGACTTTCAGATGCTTTCTTGACTTACAAGAGAATCTCTGTGGTTAGGTGAATCATAATAAAATTGACAAGGTCACAGTGATTGAGTTGAAGAAACTGGTGGCAAATTCTGCCTCCTATAATATTACACTTTATAAAAGTGAACAGAGCTCTTCGTAACAAATTCTGTAAAAATATACTTTCCCTACCAAACATCTAGTCTCAAGGTTATAGGTTACAGTTCTGGGCAACCACTATTAAAACCAAATTTTGAAGGAGAACCTTGCCCTTTTCAACAAACAAACTTGTTAGAAACTAAATTTCCAGACCTCAAGTATAGAATATAGATACGGCTTAAATTTTGTCTTACAAAGTGAACGCTTACTGGTTATTCATTGTTGTGTGTTCTCAAAGGCCCTAAGTCAGCAGTCTCTACTCAGTTAAATAGCTATTTGGACTAGTCCCTTATGGTTTCAAGCACAATTATTACAATATTTGGGGCTTACAAAAATTTTATTTTGTAACTAGCTTTTAATTTAACTAGATTCTGTAAAAATTGGAAATTTGGAATATTCATTTCTTTGTACTGTTGTAGGTGGCGCTCGTGTTTCCGAATAGTGACCCTGTGATGTTCATGGTTGCATTTTATGGATGTCTCCTGGCGGAGCTGGTTCCTGTCCCCATAGAAGTGCCATTAACGAGAAAGGTAGCAAACCCATGGCTCAGGTCCCACATGGTTCACTTCTGAACTTCATACCAGCGGTATCTTACTTCCTTTTCACTGAGTGTGGGCAGGCAGCAAGCAGCTGTCTTGACAGAGGAGAGGAAGCTAGCGGTCGACAGGCTGGCCAGGACTCAAGAGAAATCAGATGCCGTTTGGTCTGACTCTCTTCTTGTTGGTGAGAGGGTCCCTGAGAACCGTTTTGCTGGTGATGCTCCCACACCACACTCCTATGAGGTGGAGCTGTTCTATCATCTACATGAATTTCCCAACAGAAATGATAGCCAGTTTTTCCTTTAATGAATAGAATTATGGTTCAATAAGATTTTGTTAAACTTTTCCTCAAAACCATATGTTTATAGAAAATAACTATTATTTCTTAGGGATAAATGTATCATTACAGTGATATAGCTCACTTCTCAGTGGCAGTTTTGAATAAACGAGATGGAAATTATCTTGTGTTTCTATTCACTTACACAACAGTAAGCAGTTTCTGTTGCTGATAAATTATTAATGTGCGGTCTTGCTTATCTAGGTATCTATAACATTTTGAATATAAATATCAATAATCTGATTACTGAAAAAAAAATATCATTTAGGAGTAGACAATGCCTGTATTTGAGAAAATCGGCTTTCTGTCATCTTGTCCCAGAATTCAGGCAGTTGTTAACATGAGCATTATCCACAAATATTCAAGAATCCCAAAAGTAAAATTAGCAATTAAAACTAGTGTATCTCAAAGGATAATATATTATGAGCAGGTATTTGAATGCAGTGATTCTTAGGAGTAAAACTAGAGATTTGTCAAATTTATATGAAGAAAATGACAAAATACTGCTGAGGGACACAGAAGACTTGGCTACAAGGAAACGTGTTTCTGTGTGGAAATAATATTGTTAAGGACCAGGCCTCTCCAGATTAATTTGTAAATTTCAAACATGATTCAATAGAAATTTCAATGCCATTAATTTTGGAGTTTGTTAAAAATGCTTCTAAATGTCATTTGTAAGAATGAACTTTGAGAAATTAGCCCATTAAACTTTATATTTCACCACAAATAGAAAGCAAAATTATCTTTTAAATTTAAACATAGTTGTCACATTTTAATGAAGTATTTCCATGAAAAGATCGTATATATCAATAATAGGACTGAATTATTTTGGAAGTCTTGTGAGGGATGAAAAAAGATCTGTTCTGTGCATGGCCTGGAGCACCAAGGGTCTGGGTCTGGGTCTGCTGTGGGCACCCCACCCCACACTGTCACTCTGCTTTCTGCAGGACGCAGGCAGCCAGCAGGTCGGGTTTCTGCTGGGCAGCTGTGGAGTCTCTTTAGCCCTGACCACAGACGCTTGTCAGAAAGGCCTCCCCAAGGCACAGACGGGAGAAGTGGCAACTTTCAAAGGTGAGGCCTCCCAAGGGAAGAGGAGTCAGTGTTCTGACTGTGGTCTGTGTTAAATGCATGGTGTTCCAGAAATTAAACATGACTGGATCTTCAGCAAAAGTGATCCCTTGTTCAAGGCCTTGGTGAATCTCGGTTTTCATCTGGCTTCATGTCTCGACCTACACTGTCTGATATGGTAGCCACTGGCCGGATGTACCTTTTTAAATTACATAAAACGAATTGAGACTAAAACTCGCACTCGCACTCCTTAGTCACTCAGTAGCTAGTGCTGCTTGTTGGAGGCGCAGGCTTGGAGTGTGGGGAGCAGATGCCGCTCTGACTGCTGGCTGTTGTGTCCTGTCTGCGTGTCACAGGTTGGCCTCCCCTCTCCTGGCTGGTGATTGATGGGAAGCATCTAGCCAGGCCCCCCAAGGACTGGCACCCTCTGACCCAGGACACAAGGACTGGGACCGCCTACATTGAGGTAATGACCGTTCCTAACTCAGAGCATCTAAAAACGTGTCCCACAGGCTTAAGTCGTGCTTTTCCTAAGAATATAAGTTACTATTCTTTTTTGTTGAATTTCGGCCTAAGAGTTTTATCTCTGCCCCAGAAATACAGTGTCATATAGATGGTTGCTCAGACCCTTCCAGGTTTCTCTCTTATCTCATTCTCTCCTAACTGGCTCCCTCGGGATGCAGACAGTTATGAGGGAGCCCATGGCGCATCATTGCCCTCGGGCACCTGCCCAAAGGAGCCACAACTTCCACTGAAGCATCCCCTCAGGGGCCAGGGCTTGCCATGCACCTGGGCCTAGCAAGATGATTAGAGGAGAGACACTGACCACTTCTTTTGAAGATTCTGTCAGTCTCCATTCTGTCTGTTGTCACCTCTAGAAATACCACATCATGTTTTTTTCCTTGAAATCTTTCAGTATAAAACCAGCAAAGAAGGCAGTACGGTGGGGGTCACAGTGTCCCACGCATCCCTGCTGGCACAGTGCCGGGCTCTGACCCAGGCGTGCGGGTACTCAGAAGGTAAGGGCTCTCAGGGATGGGGTGGTGGCCCCTCCAGCCTCACACAGACACCTGACCTACCTCATTATGTGACTGTCGCTGCACCTGTCAAAACCACCCCGGGTGCCTTTGCCCATTAGTCCAGGTCTTGCCAGGTAGGGAGATGCACCGTCGTTAGCATGCTTATGGGGTCTCTGTGGTTGTGCTGGCCAGGAGGGCACACGGCGTCTCTTAGCAGAGTCCATGCAACCCCATCAGGCTTGTTTTCAGTAAATGCACATGGATGTTGGTTTTATGGAACATGGAAGCTATATCCCACTGATACATTTATACACAGTGCTGGGTTCACAGGCCTGCCCTGGGGGGCTGGCTTACTCTGTGACATACTGAGGGTCAGGGTATTCATTCAAAAAGAGGAAAACACTTTTAGTTTTCTATTACTGTATCTGTGACTGTAGTTTTGACCTTAGCTGTCATGCATATAAATATATGATTTATATTTTATATTTATCTTTATAAATATATAACATATATTTATATTTTTATAAATATATAACATTTATATTTTTATAAATATATAACATTTATATTTTTATAAATATATAACATTTATATTTTTATAAATATATAACATTTATATTTTTATAATATATGGTTTATCTATATTATGATTATAGATGATCTCTTGGTAAAGTATAGTCAGCACCTGATTTACTTCAAATGTCATATACTTAGGGAAGTATTTTTAAATTAATATTATTTAATTGATAAGTACTAATTGTATATATTTATGGGGTACACCGTGACAGATAATTTAAAAAACTGTAAAAATGGACTCATAGTAGTTTTCTTACATTGTAATACTGGAACTGAACAAAGCTACAAAGTGAAATTGAGTGGTTTAAATATCTAAAATATAGGTGTTTAGGCCAGGTGCAGTGACTCATACCAGTAATCCCACTACTTTGGTTTGCTAAAGCAGGAGGAACACTTGAGGTCAAGAGTTTAAGACCACCCTGTACGACATAGTGAGACCCTGTCTCTACAAAAAAAGGGAGAAATTTTAAATAAAATTTTAAAAAAGAAAAAAAATAGGTGTTTAAAAGCAAGGGGGTAAGTTGAGGGTACAGCTAAAGCTTTTACTGGAGATTTGGAAAATGATTTTAGGTATTTTTTAAGGGCTTTATTAAGTTTAAAAAGTTAGATCTTTCAGATCAAGCCCCATGACTTTGTCTTCAGCCCAGAGCTAATCTTACATATGTCACCTATAATTTGGGTTCTTTAGCCAGGCGTGGTGGTGTGTGCCTACAGTCCCAGCTACTCGGGAAGCTGAGGTAAGAGGACCGCCTACGCCCAGGAGTTTTGGGCTGTGCCAACCAGGTATCTGCACGAAGTTTGGCAGCAACATGGTGACCTTCTAGGAGTGGAGAACCACCAACTTGCTAAGGAGAGGAGAACCGACCCAAGTAGGAAAGGGAGCAGGTCAAAACTCCCGTGCCGATGAGTAATGGGATTGTGCCTATGATTATCCACTGCACTGCAGCCTGGCAACATAATAAGATCCCGTCTCTAAATAATAACAATAATAATTTGTGTTCTTTAGCCAACAGAGAAAGGATGTTTATAGTACTGTTATTCATAGTGCAATAGCATTTCCTGGCACACAAATCAAACCTCTCCTATTCACCTTTGGAGTGCTGTGGCCTTTGGCGAGAAGCCAGGTCTGCCCATAGCCCCAGGCTCTGCCTTTCTGCCTGTGTGAGGTGGGAGCCAGATCTTAGAGAGGACTTGGCCGAGTGCTCTGAGCAGAGAGCTGTGCTGGGAACCCTCAGTACTGCTCTCCACTCCAGCGTCCTAAAATGTGTTAGCTGCGTGTCTCTGGATGAGAAAACGGGCAGAGGAAGAGTGACTTTCTGAAGGGTGATGTGAACCACCAGCTCTTATAGAGGAGAGATGCCGGATCACGGTCTCTGGGTGTGAGAATTGAGGAGATGTGTAGAGTTGAGAAGTAAGAATATCCCTGACAGTTTTTCATCCCCACCTCTTGATTCTGAAAAGAATACCCCATCAAAATACCTGATGAAAAGATGTGGAGAGGCTGGGCGCAGTGACTTAACGTCTGTAATCCCAGCACTTTGGGAGGCCAAAGCGGGCAGATCACTTGAGGTCAGGAGTTTGAGACCAGCCTGGCCAACATGGTGAAATCCCTTCTCTAGTAAAAATACAAAAATTAGCCGGACATGGTGGCGCATGCCTGTAGTCCCAGCTACTTGGGAGGCTCAGACGGGAGAATTGCTTGAACCTGGGAGGCGGAGGTTGCAGTGAGCTGAGATTGCTCCGTTGCACTCCAGTCTGGGCAACAGAGTGAGACTCCATCTCAAAAGAAAAGGAAAGAAAAGATATGGTGACACCTTGTACAGCTTCTTCAGTATGTGATGTTCCCGTGCCTTGTGATTAGTGCTCAGCATGGTTCTCGGTGTTAGTTGCATGACTTTCTACTTTTATGTGTTTCCAGTAATAGATAACCAAGATTATTATTAATTGGTATGTGGTATTTGGAAATGCTATATCTGTTCCCTGAAACTTACGTGTTGATGATGTACTCACCTCAGAATTTCTCTAGAAAATGCATAGGGCTTATTGAGAGGGTTGCTCAGTGGTTTAACCTTCTTTGTCTACTTGCAGCGGAAACATTAACAAATGTGCTGGATTTCAAAAGGGATGCTGGTCTGTGGCATGGAGTGTTAACAGTGAGTGTTGTTTGCTGATGACTAATTGTTGGAACAAGGGATTGAGATGAACCCAAGCCTCTGCCTGAAATGTTGGGAGAGTACATTGGTTTTGTTTTGCTTTTTCTGGTGTGGCTCGGGCCCACTCGCCCTGAGCGTGTCTGCTCCCCCCCAGAGTGTCATGAACAGGATGCATGTGGTCAGCATCCCCTACGCGCTGATGAAGGCCAACCCACTCTCCTGGATCCAGAAAGTGTGCTTCTATAAAGGTAACGGATACCATCGTCACGGCACTCACCCTTCTTTAGAGAAATCTCTTGGAACTGACCTTTGGTGATTAAGAACAAATAAAGCTGAGATGTGGAACTGCAGATGTAGGCTGAGGAGCCGTGGGATGTCTTTCTTGGTCATACCCCTGCCCAGGAGTATGGGGGCTTTCTCTGCCTCGGGCATAGCCCTCAGGGTTTCATGGGTGATGTGGTAAGTAGGGCCACTTGGTGGGGTCTGGGCCTTGCTTCTCTCAGCAGTTGAGGTGCCTCTGGGGACCAAGCAGGAGGCCCCAGCATGGCCACACCTGCACAGTTGGCAGTCTGTGTCTCTGCCCTGTGGAGCTCAGTGGCACTTTACCAGCCACTGAGGCACTGGATCACCTGGGTCACCCATGTTGCCTTGTTCTACCTGCTGGGCTGTGCCCCTCTGGACATGTCTCAGAGCAGTGTGGAGCAGCAGCTGTCTCTTGTCTGTCCTGCTTTATGGAGGGAGACTGAAACTTGGGTGGGGGTGGGGGGATTGCTGGATTCCACATGCTAGCCAGTGCAGGAGCCAGACTGAGACCTGAGACTGTCTGTTTAGCTCCTGGGGTCCTCACACTTCTCAGCCAGCACCAGGGGTTTGGGGAGGGACAACGTGAGACGAAGTGGGCACATAGGAAAAGAACAATATGGAGCTTCTAAGAAAAAATTAACGTTAGGAATGGATCTGAGCTTTTGATGTCTAAATTGTACCTCGGAGTTGATTTTTGTGGAAAAAGGTTTGAGGGTTAGACTGCATGTAAGAGAGGGCTGCAGAGAGCTTCTGACCTGGGAGCGAAGTGTTGTGTCTGTGTGTGTACACCTTTGTGTGGGATGAGGTACACGTGTCTATAGGCGTGTGAGGGTGCCAGCCCTCGTGACACAGGGATGTCTGATGTCTGTGCCATCCTCTCTCTGCAGCTCGGGCCGCGCTGGTGAAGTCGCGAGACATGCACTGGTCTCTCCTAGCTCAGCGAGGCCAGAGGGACGTCAGCCTCAGCTCACTGCGCATGCTGATTGTGGCCGATGGCGCCAACCCATGTGAGTGAGTCTGTGTGGCTGGGGCATACCCCACACAGTGTCCCCTTCTGCAGACCAAAGTAGAACACACTGAGAAGCAAAATTGAGGCGTTTGCGCTGCCAGTGTCATATAGATACACATGTCCCATCATTTCTATGACACGGAACATCTTGTTGATTCACTGGTTTATCTCATGCATGTTTATTAGGCCACTAAATTTAAAAGCAATTTTAATATGCTTGATGAAAGGTACATGCCTTAATGAGAGTCATCTTTCTTAAGAAATTACCAGATTGTGCTGTGGCCTGGGGTTCCTGTTTCTCTTTGGGCCTATCCCCAGCCTCTTGCCCTTTGTCCTGGTGCACCCACATCCCTGGCTTCTGGCTTAACTTCTCCCACCAGGACCCAAGCTTTCTCCCTCCTGGTTTGCCTAGATGTTCCCCACGTCCTCCCGGGAGGGGCTCCCTGTGGCTGCTGCCTGAGCGCGTAGGACCTCCTGCATGCGGTGGTCCCAGTGAGCACCTAGGACCTCCTGCGCGCAGTGGTCCCAGTGAGCACCTAGGACCTCCTGCGCGCGGTGGTCCCAGTGAGCACCTAGGACCTCCTGCGCGCGGTGGTCCGAGTGGGAACTGCTTTGTCAAGGCAGCAGGTGTGAGCTCAGGGGCCCAGGACTGTCCAGGGTCAGACTCAGTACCTCCTCTGGGGAAGCCTCAGGTGATGCTGGTCACACAGGGGCTCCTGTTGCAGCACATACCTGTTGACCAGGTATTAGGGGTTTTGTCGTTTGTTAACCTGCATCGTTGTCTCTGCATTGGAGACTACCCTGGATCAGAAGCTGACGTTTCATCTTATCCCCTCTCCAGTGTGACCAACACCCCTGTGTCCCCCATCTCTTGGGAGAGCACCCCACCTTTAGCACCCCCAGAGCCTCTCATTCTCTTGGTCCACACCCAAGCCAGGCAGGGCTTGCTTCTGGATTCTGCAGTGCTGCTCAGGTCTCTGCGTCTCTACTCCATGCCCACCGCTGCTTTGTGGTCCACACGGTGGAGTTGGAGTGTGCGTCTCCCCTCCAGTGTCTCTTCCCGTGGCACTCCCCGTCGCCGCACTTGATCCTAGCAGTGCTGTGCGGCCAGTCTACCGCTGCATGCAGCGCCCTCCTGTCCCTAGGGACGCCCCTTCTGCCCTTTGGAGCGCCAGACCATTCGTGGCTGACTTCCTTTAAAGACACCATCTCCCTTGAAGAGCATGAAGTCTGAGGGCGCCTGTGAAGGGACCCCTTCCTTCTGCTGATGCAGCCCGGTGGTTCCGATGGCTGCAGGCTGTGCTGACTTGAGCATGTGCAGCCACCAGCCGTGGCCTGGTACACCCCTAAGAGCATGTGCTCCTTTTGAGTCAGTGGCCAGCCACCCCCTCCATGCTGGCCCGCAGTTAGTGCTGGTGTTCCACTCTTGTTGCTCTGTGCAGGGTCGATCTCCTCCTGTGACGCCTTCCTCAACGTCTTCCAGTCCAGAGGTTTGAGGCCGGAGGTCATCTGTCCTTGCGCCAGTTCTCCTGAGGCGCTGACTGTCGCCATCCGCAGGTAACCTCATTCCTTGCTATGTCTCGTGAGCACTTAGTTGAGTCCTCTGCATACAGCTGAGTTACCCTGGAGCTGTGCCTTGCCTGTTAGGATCCAGGCCCATTTGTATGGCAGCGCCTTGGTGCCTGGCTCCCCACTTTTTGCCAGCTTGGGTTTGCGTGGGGAATTGGGTAGCAAGACTGGGCCATACTCTGGATTCTTGCAGAATGCCGGCTCGCGATTTTCCTAAGTTCTTCCTAAATTAGAAAGGCCTTGTCATCTCATCTGTAGCTGTAGTAAACATTACAACCTAGGAACTCTTTCTTACTCTGAGGCAGTTGTCAGTCAGCCGTGGAGTCTGTGGGAACCATTGACCTTCCTGGAGAAGCGCCCGGCCTGGTGCTTAGTGCCCGGTCACCCACCTCCCGGGAGGCCTGTGCTGCTCTTGTGGAGGTTTTCCTCATGTCACCTCTCTCAGCCTGGAGGGCACGTTGAGCCTGCAGACTGCCCTGAGTGTCCTTGTGTGTGGGTGCGGGCTTGGCCCTTCCTGTGCTCCTCACCCCCCTCCTGAGGTTTCCTTTCCCCTCATCTCACCTGCCCCACCCCCAGCTCCATCCTGGAGGCAGAACTCACTGTGCTCACAGCTGAGGTGTCTTAGCCTCAGTTGTAATCTTGTGTTAGCGTCATATATTCATAAATGGTATGTATTTCCACACATGAAAGTAATCTTAAGTTTTTATAAGTCACCCTCACTTGGCCAGGCATGGTGGCTCACGCCTGTAATCCCAGCACTTTGGGAGGCCACGGCGGGTGGATCACCTTAGGTTAGGAGTTCGAGACCAGCCTGGCCAACATAGTGAAACCCCATCTCTACTGAAAATACAAAAAATTAGCCAGGCGTGGTGGTGGGCGCCTACAGTCCTGGCTACTCGGGAGGCTGAGGCAGGAGAATCGCTTGAACCAGGGAGGTGGAGGTTGCAGTGAGCCAAGATGGCGCCATTGCACTCTAGCCTGGGCAACAAGAGTGAAACTCCATCTCAAAAAAAAAAAAAAAAAAAGTAACCCTAACTTTTTAATCACTTAACATTAAAAAAAAAACTATTGTCGCCTACAAACTATAAATTATTCTTCATTCTTTTGTTCTGTGGTGATTTGTTTTGTGCAGCTGTATAATTTTTTTCTTATTGGAGGAAACACTAACATTTGTTGCTCAGGGTTCCAGTTACTATTGTGTATCACAAACAACAACAGTCATTTTATTGTCTCTCATGCTTTCTGGGGGCCAGGAGCTTAGGAAGGCCTCTGCCAGGTGGTTCTGGCTTGCAGGAGATGGTGTTTGGACAGGAGCGGTGAGGGGCTGAGACAGCCTTGTGTGTGTACCGTCTCATGCCCCCACCTGGTCTCAGAGTGGGCTGCTCTGGGCTTTCTTGCAGTGCAGTGGCCTCAACACAGTCATTCTGTTTGCCTGGCCTTGCAGGGCTCCAGCCGAGTGTCCCAAGACACTCGGGTAGAAGCTGAATTGACGGTTTTGGCCTGCATTAGAAGTCACATGGCATCACTGCCACTGTCATCACAGGCCCTTTTCCCACTGAGTGGAGTGTTGACGTCACATTGCAGAGGGGCATGTAGTTTGGAGACATTGCAGCATCTTTAGAACATGCGTTTCTCACAAGTCTGTAACATGGAGCAGTGGCTTTGGTGCAGAATCATGCTGCAGGCAAGGTGGCCCCACTTCCCTGGAATTTTATCCCCCTAGTCAGTTAACCCCATGGTGGTTTTATTTTCTAGGCCACCTGATCTGGGAGGACCACCTCCAAGAAAAGCGGTCCTGTCAATGAATGGTCTAAGTTATGGTGTTATCAGAGTGGATACTGAAGAAAAGTTGTCAGTCCTTACTGTTCAGGACGTTGGTCAGGTGATGCCTGGAGGTAAGGGACATAACCAGAGTGGGTCTTTGTCCATGACTGATTGACGTAACAAAAAGGGGTTTGTTTTGTTTTGTTTTGAGATGGAGTCTCGCTCTGTCACCAGGCTGGAGTGCGGTGGTGCGATCTTGGCCCACTGCAACCTCCACCTCCCAGGCGATTCTCTTGCCTCAGCCTCTTATAAATGCTCCAGGCTTCATAGTAGTGCTCTAGAAGCAAGCATGCAAGTAAAAGATTTTTCAAGAATGTTTTTCAATGTAAATTGGAATTTTACTTTGTAAAATATTTGCTCAGTTTTTTCCCTCGCTTTGTGTTAAGTTTAAAGATAAGCTAAAACATAAAGATGTGTGTATGCCCTGTGCAGCTCACTTACAGTTCTTTGATGTTTGGGAAGATGGTGATAATAGCTCACTGCGTTCCAGGCACAGGCTTCATACTTCACAAGTGTTGAAGCATTTAACCCCATGACAACCATGTAAAGTGGGCAACTCTGAGGAAAATGGTAATGTTTGTGAATAACTTGATAATTAGGTTATCTAAGTAAGTTGTAGCAAGCATGTATCATGGTAGAAGCCTCATGGAAGCTTCCCAGAAATTCCTCCTATGTCAGAAAGTCCTATGTGAACTGTTCTGCAGAAGTCGACTCTGTAGGCCTGACCATCATGTTAGATGTTGGAGGTTTTCCTTGCCATCCTGAGGCAGAATCTGGCCTGGCCCTGGTGATAGTCGAGTGGAGACACTGTCACATGGTCTGAGGCTGCCCTCCTTGTAGCCACCCCACAGCTACTTCAGCTTTCCTGCCCCCCTGTGATGGCCCTTCTGGGGTTCATGGGCAGCTGTCTGGGCCCCTTTTGGTGACTTCTAGAGGCAGGGCCCCATCTCTCGGTGCAGTCTCCGCCTTTCCAGTGCGGCCCTGACTGTGTTAGGGGTTGCAGGCACTGCGAGAGGCTCAGCATCCTGGCCCTTGTGCCTGCAACTCTGCCTCCTGCAGGCGGCTGTGCTGACGGGCTGTGGCTGCTCAGACCCTGTCTGTGGGTGGTGCTGGCAGCCCAGCCATCTCTAACCTGGAGCTTGGGGCCAGCTGGTGCCTGATCCCTGTGTGTGCACAGATGCTGGGTCCTCACTGAATAAGACTGAAGCGTTTCAGCCTATGTTTCTGGCTCTACTTTTTATTCATATGAATAGCATCATTTTCTTCCTGTAATTCTTCTCAGAAATAGAACAGTCTTTCACAGTGCTTGAACCTGTGGGTAAAACATTTTCACACATAGCAATCATTGGGGTGTCACTTATTTACGTTATGGGGAAAATACAGGTAACTGTTTAAACTTCCCTGGAAAATCATGATGAGGTTGTGATTCTGAATGAATCTAAGGAACATCTGTAGTTGTGCGTGTTTTATTTGTAAAATGTGGATTAGGACATGACATGCGTGCGCAGCGCTCCCCCAGGCATGCACGCAGCACACCCCCTTCCCCAGGCGTGTACATAGCACTCCCCCAGACATGAACTCAGCGCACCCCCTCCCCCAGGCGTGCACACAGCACTTCCCCAGGCATACATGCAGCACTTCCCCAGGTGGACCTCTGTTTCCCATGACCCTCCACAGCCCCCAGGCTGTGCCGCTTGTTGTGGCACTGAGCCCCATGGTGAATCCTACGGGTGATTTGTCTTCAGCAGTTTTTTGATCTGCCCTGTGGAGGCCTGTAGCATTTGTGTTCACTATGGTATCAAGTGTGTTGTGGTGCTTTGTGGCTTTTTGTGACCTTGCTTAGTCTCTGTGTGCTTGTAAGTGTTGTGTGGCACTGACGGCCGCCTGGATGGCCGCCTGGAAGCACAGACAAGCACCACCTTCCATATCAGCCAAGCACGGCTGCATTCTCTCTGCGAAGTCTTTTATCTGATTTGTGGCAAGAGGCAGCAAATACCTGGTTGTCTCTTTCTTTCTTTTTACTGTCTTTGAAGCTGAGAATACATTAGAAAAAACTCAAGAAGAGGCACAGGAAGGACAGTTCCTAGCTGACCCAATGGGTTAATTGATTGCTAAGTAACCAAGTTTTATTGAATGGACCATTGCCCATTCGTTTGTGCGTCTCATGCTTTTGTGTGAGGCTATTTCTGGAGGCCTTTCTGTGGCAGAGCTGGGGACTAGGCAGACGAGATCCCTTGCGGGAGGGGAAGGCAGCAGGTCGCTGAGAGTTGGGTGGGGTGCACTTAAGTAAAAACAGAACTGGGTGATGGGGCTGTGGGAGGAGTCACGCTGAGGCCTGAGACATCCGTGCTCCATGAAAAGGCGCATATGTGCAAATTGACCCCCAAATGCGGAAAGAGCCGAGAAACTGAAGGAGGCAGAAGGATCGTGTCAGTAAAGGGTGGTTCATTGGGGAACTTAACAGATAGAATCCTGGTCTTGAGTGGCTGCAAGACAGGTAGATGTCTGCGCTGCAGCCCTCCGGACCCAGGGCCTTTCTCTTGGGGAAAAGCATCTGCGCTGTGGAAAGAATGTGCACGTGGCTGAGGGAGCGCCCTGGGCCTCATAGCCTGTGGTGTGTGCAGAAGCATCAAGGTCGTTTTGGAGGTTAGGGAGAACTTAGTAGGTGTTTCTCCATGAAGATGTCTTAGAGGCACTCCTGGACTTAAGATTAGTCTGGAGTCGCCTGGTGGATTAGCATTAAAATAAAGTTCTAGAAAGGGGGCAGGCATGGGCAGAGTTCTGTCAGGCTCTGGAGAGGAGCTGGTGTCCCAGGCTCGTGTGGTGGTGATGGTCAGGAGCCAGGGCCGGCAGCACCCCCCGTGGACCCGAGGGAGCAGTATGACAAGAGGAGGCACAGGGTTTATTTATCATAGTAGAGGAAATATTTTGTCAGCCCGGGCTTATTACATGAAGGATGTGTTGTACTTTCTGGTCACCTTACATTGATTATAAAAAATATTACATATAAAATATGAAGACTTACAGCTAGGTTGCATGTGTATCATCCGTATCATAAAACTCCTTATAAGAAGATGCTGTGTATATAACATCCTGTTTCCGTAACTGCACATACAGCAGCAAGGAGATCTTTGTGAATGATCCATTTAAACACGTTCTTTATTATGTTGAGTTTTTTTCTCATTTTAGCTAATGTATGTGTTGTGAAGTTAGAAGGTACCCCTTATCTTTGTAAAACTGACGAAGTGGGAGAAATATGCGTCAATTCCAGTGCAACTGGCACAGCCTACTACGGATTGCTTGGAATCACGAAGAATGTGTTTGAGGTTTGTCCCTTTTCCTGACTTTCATGTTGAAGTTAAGTTCTGTGAGCACTCATGGGGCCCCAGGTGTGCTGGGTGCTGGGGGATTGCAGAGGCTGCGGGGATGGTCTTTCTCCACACAGGCCCTGCTGGGGCTGTTGGCACATGGCCTGCACACTCTTGTGTGTCCTCCCAGAGTGAGGGCAGGGCCAGGACCAGGCACGCTGTGGAGAGCTGGGAGTCAGCGTGCTTCCCACAGTCCTGCATGGGAGAAGGGCGTGTGGGTGCAGCCTAGTGGCCGATAGGAAGGCACTCACCGTGGCCCCAGGGAAACCACCCCTCTGCTGCGTTTGCATTGTTGTGATGTGAGTTGTTCAAGACAAGTCTAGTGAGGTCAGGGGAGGCCAGGCACCCAGAGCAGCGGTAAAAGGGATGCTTGTGTCCTGCCTCAGGAGGCCTGCCCAGGAGATGGAGCAGCCAGGCCAGAGAAACTGGGCCTATGCAGGGCCAGCCTCCTTTTTCCCCCGACTGGCAGGTGTACACATGGTGCTGCGTCTTCTGCTGCCTGCTGGGTCTTTTTTCCCCCGGCCAGCAGGCGTGCACATGGTGCTGAGTCTCCTGCCGCCTGCTGGGTCTTTTTGGTCAGTTGGTTGGGGCCACAGCCTGATCGTGCCCCTCTCCACTCTGTGCAGGCAGTTCCGGTCACCGCAGGAGGAGCACCCGTCTTTGACAGGCCATTCACCAGGACAGGCCTGCTGGGCTTCATCGGGCCTGTGAGTATGTCCTCCTGTACCAGGACTGGCAGTCAGAGAAGGTAGGGGGTGTGGCTAAGGGACACCTCGCTGCAGTCCTGCCCTTGTCCCAGCCATTCCTGACCTCCCATGTGGCCTTGGTCGGTTGTGCTGACCTCCCTGCCCATCAACCCTACCTGTGTGCAGGGCCGTCCACACCTCCAAGACCAGTGCACAGTCCTGCACACAGGCCCAAGTCGGGAGTCCCTGGGGTGGATGAGGATGTTTTGCTTTTTGTATGGATGGCACGTTCGAGAGTATTCATTATATCATTCTTTACCATTTTGGATGTCTAAACTATTTAAAAATAAATACTTCTATTTGTAACATCTTGGTCCAGTGTTTCTCTCAACTGGGCAATTTTGCCCCTTCCCTCCCAGGGGAATTCTGGCAACTTCTGAAGACATTTTTGCTAGTCACAACTCAGGGAAGGGGAGTGCTCCTGGCGTCTAGTGAGTACCTAGAGGCCAGAGATGCTGCTCAGAGCCCAACATTAGCCCAGGACAGCACCTGAGATGGTATTGTCAGCCCAGAAGGTCACTGGTGCCGGGTTTGGGACCCCACCCTTAGCTCAGCAGTTTTCAGTCCTTCGCAAACTCTACCCACAACTTGTTTCCCACTTGTGATCCTTTCCCTTCCTGATGCTGCCCCAGCAGCCCCCATTCCTTCCACACAGTCTGCTCCTCTTCCAAGCCTGGCTTGTCACAGGGCCTGCATTGCAGGTTGGGTCTGTGGGGCGTTGACCTGTCTGCAAGGCGCTCGAGGCTCCTGTGCTGTTGGCCCCTTCTTGGGGGGCCTGACCATGGTCCTGGCGCATCCAGCTTCTGCTCTTGTGGGTGGAGTCCTAACCCACACCCTTTCCTTCAGGACAACCTGGTCTTCATCGTGGGCAAACTGGACGGGCTGATGGTCACTGGAGTTCGCAGACACAATGCAGATGACGTTGTGGCCACCGCGCTGGCCGTGGAGCCCATGAAGTTTGTCTACAGAGGCAGGTGATGCGCTGCGGACCCCTGTGCTGGGAGTAGATTCCTTCCATTTACAGCTCGGGAAGTCTTTCTACAGTAGATGGAAAGCCCAGCAAATTTGAATTCACAAAGTCTAAAAGTTGTTGTACATCAGAAAACTCCTAAAGTAAAAGGAAAATAAGAGTTCCTTCAATTCCTCAAGAAAATAAGGTTTTGATGCACAATTTTGGGCAAAGGCTCAAGGGGACAAATCAGAGAGGGAAGAATTGAGTAAGCCTAAGGAGAAGTGGGTCTAAGTTCCTAATAACCTTGGAATGTGAATTAAAACAGAAAAGTGTCATTTTCTCTGCAAGACACACAGCACCCTACATTGCCTCTGGAATAAAAATCAACTCAACTTTTCTACATGTGTAAAGCAAGGACCTTAGAGATTCTCTTGAGCAAATAAATAGACATATGGGCCTATGCCCCTGGGCACCGGGGCCAGGAAGAGAATTTCGCTCCTTCTGCTCCCAAGCTCTTTGTCTGGGAGGAAGCTCTTCCCCTAACTGGTCCACTCAACCAGCCGCCTTTTTAAATTTTATTTTTCTCAAGGGGTTGCCTTTTTTTTTTTTTAATGGCAGGGTCTCACTCTGTCGCCCACGCAGGCTGGAGTGCAGGAGCATGATCCTAACTCACTAGAGCCTCCAGCTCCCAGGCTTCAAGCAATCCTCTTACCACAGCCTCCTGAGTAGCTGGGACCACAGGCATGCACCCCACACCTGACTAATTTTTTAATATTTTTGTAGAGATAGGGTCTCACTATGTTGCTCAAGCTGTTTTCGAACTCCTGGGTTCAAGCAATCCTCCCTCCTTGGCCTCCCAAAGTGCTGAGATTACAAGTGTCAGCCAATGTGCCTGGCCAAGGGTGTGCCTTTTGTTACTCAAACTAAGGTACTTGGGAGCCAGGCCAGACCCTGCCTTTGAGCAGCCCTTAAAGCAATCACAAGGGGATTCTGCAAAGTGGTGTGTCATCATGGTTAGTCTTGAGGAAAAAGCCCAGAGGATGGACAACAGAGAAGGTGGGAGATTGCTCAGGGGACCGGGAAGGGCAGGCTGTGCTCATGCGTGTGTGCGCACATGTGTGTGTGTACATGTATGTGTGCGCGTGTGTGCAGGGGGAGGGGGAGGGTGGCACAACCAGGGTCGTGACCTGCCCCTCACGGCAGAAATGGGGGACACGTTGGGCAGGTGTCCTTAGGGATAACATCAAGTAGCCCAAACCCTGCTTTGAGGTGGAACAGGGAGACCACCCCCTCACAGGGCCACCTGTACCTGATGGTACCTGGAGATGAAGCCCCCGTCCCCCAAGCAGGATCCTGATGAGGCGAGGCAAGCCTGAGTGAATAACTGGGGCCTGGGTGACTGCATCTGCAGGCAGAATAGCCTCCCTGTCCCGACTAGGGAAGAGCTGAGGAATACAGGAACTTGGAAATGGAACCACAACCAGTTGAGAGCATATGTGCCATTGGAAGAAGAGCAATAGAAGATTTGCAACATGAAATAAGATCAAGAAATGCTAACAAAGTAATTGTTCAAAGAACACAGTAGATGGAATACATAGAATGGATACAGCTAGAGAACAAGTTGAGAAGGTGGAAAGTCAGATTAGGGAACTACTCTGGAAGTAAAATAGGAACTTTAAAGGAACTATTAAGAGAGATGGGAGAGAAGGGCTAGTGTCCAGATAGCAAACTCAGGGAGAAGGAATGCATGGAGTGGAGCAGGGATTGTCTGAGGAAGCAGGTGGTTGGGGTTCTCTGGACTGGGAAATGGTCCACAGAGGGCCCCATGGCATGTTGAGCTTATCTGTATTCTCACCATGGACCACACAAAAGCCAAGCAAAACACGTCAGACTTCCCCACAGTGGAACTGGCACAAGATAACAGTGCACCCAATTTATCCAAATTGTTACTTAATTTTGCAGTTGTAATAAAAAATATTTTCAATCATGTAAATTTCAGAAGTTTTGACACATAAAGGTCCATACTGAAAACAGTTTTGGTCAAGATACTAAGAGAAATAAATTCAGGAAGTGCTGTAAGATGTATGAGAGTAAGGAGAACTCAATACTAGGTGAGGTCTGTTGTATAAATTGTGTGTGTGTGTGTGTGTGTGTGTGTGTGTACACACCAGTCAAGTCAAAGGAAAGGACAAGAGACAGTATATCCATAATATCCCAGAGTCAGAATGGTGTAGATACCCTAACATGATGGGTTTGGTGGGGAGAACATCTTCTTATTTTATAAAGGAAAAGACAGAGATATCAACTCAAAGTCTAAAAGAAGGAAAAGGCAACACAGAACAAAGGAGGACATGTTGAAATTTTTAAGATAGTAAAAACACGTCTAAATATACTAACCTCTATAAATGTGAATAGATTAGTAAAAGAGAGATGCAATCTGTTGGATTAAAATATAATTAATAGAACTTTAGACAAATATTTGTGCACAAGGAAATTTACATCAGATTAAGGAATTTTTTCTTGTAAAAATATGTGTCTCTGGGGCTGTTTTGCTTTGTCCTGAAGTCCTCTCTGTTTTTTGTGACTTGAGATACATTTCAACCATCCTCAAGGAGATTAGAATGATGAGTTACTTTATGAATTTGCAGCAGATAGCCCCATTTGATAGACTGCATTTTAAATATTAGGACAGCCTGCCTCTTCCATTGTGCGGGTGAGAATGCATCTGTGTCTTGTCTGGCCTCTTGCCGTGTGGCCATTTCCATGTCTCATCCCTCAGGATCGCTGTGTTCTCTGTGACCGTGCTGCATGATGACCGGATCGTCCTGGTGGCTGAGCAGCGGCCGGATGCCTCGGAGGAGGACAGCTTCCAGTGGATGAGCCGTGTGCTGCAGGTGGGCACCCGGCATAGCCTATGGTTGGGTGAATCTCCCAAGCTGGCACCCCCACTCCTCTCCAAGCGCCGAGTGCTTGGCTTGTTCCGCCCTGTCCTCCTTGCTTCCAGCTTGTTTATCTGCATTTTTCATCGCAAACTGACAAATTATAGCTGTTTGTGTTTATGGGGTATGAAGTGATGTTATAATTTATGAATACTATATGGAATAATTAATATATCCATCACCTTAATTTTTTTTTTTCTGATGAGAACATTTGAAATGCACCCTCATAGTGATTTTGAGATGTACATTATTTATGGTATTCGCCAGTCTGTGCAATGCATCTCAAAGAAAAAACTTTCCTCCTCCTGTCTAATTGAGGCTTTGTGCCCTTTCCCCATCGTCTCCTCGTTGCCCCATCCCTCAGCCTCTGGTCTCAGATTTATGGACATGTGCACACGAATACAGTGTGTGTCCCCTTTCTGAGTTAAATGGTGGAAAACTGCACACACTCCTCTTCATGTTGTTTCCTCATTCAACAAAATGTCCAGAGGGCACCATTTCCTGGCCTGGGGACAGGTCCACAGAGGGGATGTTCATGGCCCCCGCCCAGCATCTCCCCAGCCTCAAGTTGGGGGCCTGTGCCAAACAGGGTCCTTCCCTTTCAGGCCATCGATAGCATCCACCAGGTGGGCGTGTACTGTCTGGCTCTGGTTCCTGCCAACACCTTGCCCAAGGCTCCCCTCGGAGGGATTCACATTTCTGAAACCAAACAGCGCTTTCTGGAAGGGACACTGCACCCGTGCAATGTGCTGATGTGCCCTCACACCTGTGTTACCAACCTCCCCAAACCTCGCCAGAAACCACCAGGTTAGTTGGACCTAACAACAGGATGCTGTCTAGTCTTGACATTGGTAGCAGCCGTGTTTGTGGTTAGGGTGCAGCCCTGCTAGACCCTCTAGTGCAAACAGGTTTGTTCTGGGGCTGGGGTCAAGAGCCAGAGCAAGTGTACACCCCAGAATGATGCCACCTCCTGCGAACCAGCCACGCATGGGGCAACTTAACCACATCACCTCATGGTGGTTTCCACCTGCCTGTTAGGAACCAATTTTAATGATAAACTGAAGGATGGCATCTTAGCTTTGCATGACTAGGAGATGGCTCCCTAGGACTAGAAATGATGCCCAGGATCATACTGGAGCTTAAAGTCAAAAGTGCCTCTGTGGCCGTGCTGTGGCATAAGCCATACCTGTCCCCAGGAGCCAGCTGCCTGCCTCGGCCCTGGGACCTGCCACAGACACTGGGTTGATGGGACCTTGGAAATCTCTCAGCAAATGGCCAACTTTCCTTCCCTCATTTTATACATTTAAAAGCTAATTTTAGAGTCTGGTTTAACTTTAATGCAATTTTTCGTTTCTTTGGTCATATTGATTTCCAGTACATGCCAAAGTTTTTTTGTTAATTATTGAACACATATCACTAAATACACTAAACATATTTCCTGATTTATACATAAAGTACAGTAAAGCAAAATATGTTAAGCATTTTGGTGTGACTGAGGCCAAATCATATCCTCAGAGATATGTCATGTAGTAAACTTCTCGATATGGTGTGGTTTATGTTTGAGAGAGAGATTCTCTTTGTCACTTAGCATAAACCTTGTAGCTGGCTTTCTGAGTATTTGTGTCTCAGCAGAAAAGTTAAATGCCTCATTCAAGTATGTTTTCAAAATAAAAATTGTAACGGAAATAAAGTCATGTGGTGATTATATATGAGAAGTTACCAGCTTCTCATTCAGAATCCCCCCATTTCTAGAGGTTGGACCAGCCTCCATGATCGTGGGGAACCTGGTTGCTGGGAAGAGAATTGCTCAGGCTTCTGGGAGAGAGCTTGCCCACCTGGAGGACAGTGACCAGGCACGGAAGGTGACAGGCCTGTTCCGGGGACGGGTGGACGGGTGTCCATGCCCCGGAGGTGCCAGTGACCAAGTCGCCCCCTCGTGCAGTTCCTGTTCCTGGCTGACGTGCTGCAGTGGCGTGCCCACACCACTCCTGACCACCCGCTGTTCTTGCTGCTGAACGCCAAGGTGAGGCAGTGTTGCACCCACAGGGATTGGAAACACCCGGGAGCTGGTGGAGCCCTTTGCTTGTCTAGTTCCTGATGCCAGTGTCCTGGTTCTTTTCATGGTTAGAGAGTAGTGTGCCTATGGACTCAGCCCCCTTGTCTGGTGCAGTTCTCTCTGCCTGCCCTTTCCTTTGTAGGTCCCTTGTTTTCCACACATTTCACACAGTAGTATTTCTACTGATTTTGTGTTTAGCAGGAAAATTTTCATCAGCTCAAGTTTTTAAAATTAAAAACAGTATACATGTAAATATTCCTAAGTTTGTGAGCTAAAAGGAAATGTTTATTTTGGAAAAAATTAGCCATTTAGAATTTCTGCATATGGTTACAACTTTTAAATAACAACTGTTGCTTCCTGTCCTGCTCCTGCTGCTTATTTGGAAATTCTCATGTGTTCCAAGTCCCTGTTGTGTGCATTCCACAATGCTAGGAGCATTCCAGAAGTCAAGAAGGGGAAACTGTAATCTTCATATTCAGGTTGTGGGCAGGAATGCAAAATGTGGAAACACAGAAAGTTAAATAATTTAAAAACCCTGCAAGACTCCCTGTCAATGCACCATACAAGCTGTAAGAACTCTTTTTTTTTTTTTTTTTTTTTTTTTTGAGACGGAGTCTTGCTGTGTCTCCCAGGCTGGAGTGCAGTGGCGTGATCTCGGCTCACTGCAAGCTCTGCCTCCCGGGTTCACGCCATTCTCCCGCCTCAGCCTCCCGAGTAGCTGAGACTACAGGCGCCCGCCACCACGCCCGGCTAGTTTTTTGTATTTTTAGTAGAGACGGGGTTTCACCGTGTTAGCCAGGATAGTCTCGATCTCCTGACCTCGTGATCCACCTGCCTCGGCCTCCCAAAGTGCTGGGATTACAGGCTTGAGCCACCGCGCCCGGCCACAAGCTGTAAGAACTCTTAAGCTTTGGTGTCATAAAGAGTAGGTCACTGTGGCTTAGAATATGCTGTTCTAGCTTTTGGTGCTGCTCATTCGAATTCAAAAAATACTTAATGATGCCTACAATGTGCACAGTACACGGTAATAAGATTGAAAGGACTCCTCCTCTCAGGAGGTTTAAAATCAGTCTTTCCTGCCGGAAAACACGGTCCGTAAGGGAGAGACTTTGTTTTTCTGGTGTACTGGACGCATCTAGAACCATGCCCAGTAAACATTTATTTTATGATTGATCAAGTTCTAAAGCCTGCAAGCCAGCCAGTGATTTACCATTGACCAAGGTAAAATCAGCTTATGGGGAGAACCTCAATATCAATACAGTGGAGAGATGTGACCTGGAGTGCTGGGGAGGGGCTTTGGATGGAACTGTGTAGCAGGGACTGTGAAGCAATGATGCCCAGTGGCTCAAGGCAGGAAAGGAGGCCAGTGTGGTGGGGGCCAGGTTTACCCAGGGAGGAGATGCAGATAAGGCTGGGGTCACTGGGTTTTCCATAAGGATGCCATGGGATCCCGGGCCTTGGGGGCTTTGAGTCCCAGTCCAGTTCTCAGGTTCTGTCCTGATGGGGCCCTGACTCTATGGACTGGCAAAGCTCCCGGGATTTGGACTCTCAGGATCGGCCCAGCCCTTGTGTCTGGGCACAGCACATAAGTGCGTCCACTGGTCTCTCTCTTCCATTGCCTTCTGTCAGTAGAAGCCACCAGTCAAGAAGCAGGGAGTTTGATGTTACACTGGTCTGCTCTGGAGTTCTATATTCATTAGACTGAATTGCGCTTTTTATCCTCTTAAGAAGGACTAAAAAAGCTGTGAGGCCTGGCATGGGATCAGGGAGGATGAGTTTCCTGAGCAGAGAGGTAGGGTTACAAGGTATTTCTGTTTGCACTGAACTGGTCACATGGCCCCAGTGCCCCTCCACAGAGAGACAGGGTGAATGAAGGAGCTGGTGCGGTCAGTCCTAGAGGAGACGCACGGACACTCTGAGAAAGCCGGCTGAAGATGACACAGGCCCAGGCTCAGTGCAGGTGACCTGTGGGCTTGCCAAATAGTACAGTTCAGGGATGTTTGCTTATCACTTATTATTTATTTATAACGGTGGTGTATGGAATATTTTATTGAAAAGGCCAGGAAGGTCTTCTTTAGCCATGTGTTTCTGGCTCAGACCTGGGTGAATGGAGTGCCCGCATCGCTCCCTCTTAGCTGGACCACACAGGAGATGCTTGTGTGCCTGTCCCTTCACTGCTAGTGAGAGAGTACAGATGGTGAGAAAAGACACCAGTCGTGGGCCATGTGTGGTGGCTCATGCCTGTAATCCCAGCACTTTGAGAGGCTGAGGTGGGCAGATCACTTGAGGTCAGGAGTTGGAGACCAGCCTGGCCAACATGGTGAAACCCCATCTCTACCAAAAAAAGACACCAGCCACACGCCTAGGACTGACACATTGTCATTATCATGGGTCCTAATCACAAGGGGTCGTGTGCAGGGCGTGCAGGCGGTGTGCACGCACATCTGCGAACAGCCCGCCTGCATGCACCAGCACACAGATGAGCTCAAAGATCGCTTTCCTAGGGCACCGTCACAAGCACTGCAACCTGTGTCCAGCTGCACAAAAGGGCTGAGAGAGTGGCTGCGGCTCTGATGGAGAAGGGAAGACTGAGTGTTGGGGACCATGTGGCTCTAGTCTACCCACCAGGTGGGCTCACTGTGGGTCTGTGCGCCTGCAGCTCTTCGTAAGCAGCCCCCTACCCTAAGCAGCACCCAGACATTCCCTCCCCGAAGCATCTTCCAAAACTAAGCTCAGCCCCTCCTCTCTGCATGTGTCTACCTCCTCAGCTCAGCTACCCCTCTGGAAACCTGAGAGTCACCCATGCCCTCCCCAGCACCACCTCCTCTCCTCTCTTGCAGGAACAGTGAACAGAGGCTGGTGGGAGCCTCTTGCGACCGGCCTCCTCACAGCCAGTCCTTGTCTCCACAGGGGTGGACCTCATCGCCGCGTTCTATGGCTGCTTGTACTGTGGCTGCGTGCCCGTCACTGTGCGGCCCCCGCACCCTCAGAACCTTGGCACCACACTGCCCACCGTCAAGATGATCGTGGAGGTGCGCCTACCTGGCCCGCGGGGTCAGGGTCTGTGAGTGGGAGGCTGCAAGGCTACCCTCCGCTGCCCCCTTTTCTGGGCAGTTCGAGAGGCCCCTCCCACCCACCCTTGGCCCCTCGCCATGCAGGTCAGCAAGTCTGCATGCGTCCTCACCACGCAGGCCGTCACACGGCTGCTTAGGTCCAAGGAGGCTGCTGCCGCCGTGGACATCAGGACCTGGCCCACCATCCTAGACACAGGTGCGTGCCCTCACACTGCCCAGGACCAGTCCCTTTTCCTTTCTGTATTGTAGGGGTGGTGTTGCCTGGCTGCCGTCCAAAAACACACGAGGCAAGAGCAGTCCTGGCAGGAGCCTGGCTGACAGCAGGGGGGACCCTGTCCCATGTGTAAACCTGCGCTCCACTCAGCCCACAGCAGCCGCACCCAGTCCCAAGTGGTGTGGAGCACAGCCTTGCCCCTCTCACCCGCCTCCTGCTGGCATGGGGGCTGGCAGCTCTCTGAGGCTTTCTGCAAACGCTTTGGGGACACAGCTCCCACCGCGTGCCACCACTCCAGCATCCCTGTCCCCATCATTGGTGAATGCTGTCATGCCCCAGGAAATGCTGAGGACCAGCAGGGCGAGGGTCAGAAACCCCCCTGGCTCCCCTCTGCCGTGGACCTGTCTCAGCCTGGGCTGGATGGGGCTGGGCCAGGGCAGCTGGTGTAGGGGAGGGAAGGCTCAGAGCTGAACAGCCGGCCAGGGCCCCAAAGCCTCATGGGCTTGCCTCAGGGGGAGCGGTGCCTGCCCTGCTGAGCCTGTGCCCAGTTGCATCCCGGGAGGCAGTGGTGTCTGGCTCATGGGGCCACGAGAACTTGATGAAGCACGCAGAACCCAGAGCCCGTCCATGGCTATTTTTGCTGTGGTCAGGACTCTGGGCTCATCTGGGCTCTGCCATAGGCTCTGTGGCCTTTGGCAAGTCCCCAGTCCTCTAATCTTTCCTACTGGTCAGTGACGTGATGCCGCCTCTCCTCGCCCTGCCCTGTCCCCCATTTCCACAGGCTCAGTGTGGTCTTGGTGGGACCGGGTAGCGTTTCCATGAAGAATGAAATACGCTTTCCTGAGCACACGCAGCCTGCATGGTCACGGCCCCACTGCTGTCTGAGCTCACTCTCTGCAGGACTCCCAAGGACAAATCATGTGTCGCCTCTTGCCTGTGAAAGCCCAGAGCGTTCAGAATACATGCGGGAATGCTAATGTTGGTGTTTCCTGTTTAACAGATGACATCCCGAAAAAGAAGGTAGCGAGCATTTTCAGGCCCCCCTCCCCCGATGTCCTCGCATACTTGGACTTCAGCGTGTCAACCACTGGGATACTAGCGGGGGTGAAGGTAGGTCCTCTGAAATCCTGTTTGCCTCAACCCCTAGAAATCAGGAGGAGTGGACAGAAAGGATGTCAGATACAGGTTTAAACCGGCAGGTCCTTATACAAAGCACAAGGCAATAATATTGCTTCTTAAGATTGGTGTTAAACACCAGTAAAGCCTAAAATGTGATAAGCCTGAGAGTAATGCATTTTCTGATGCATTATGGTCATGTCTAAACTTTCTGATCTATGACTAACTGGCTTCCAGGAACTGGTGGCTTTGAAGAATCTCTTACCTTGCTGGGAGCCAACAGCTCGGTTAACATTTTTCAGGCTGGGCGCGGTGGCTCACGCCTGTAATCCCGGCACTTTGGGAGGCCGAGGCGGGTGGATCACGAGATCAAGAGGTGGAGACCATCCTGGCCAATGTAGTGAAACCCCATCTGTACTAAAAATACAAAAAATTAGCTGGGCATGGTGGCGGGCGTCTGTAATCCCAGATACTCAGGAGGCTGAGGCAGGAGAATTGCTTGAACCTGGGAGGCAGAGTTTGCAGTGAGCCGAGATTGTGCCATTGCACTTCAGCCTGGGGCGACAGAACAAGACTCTGCCTCAAAAAAAAAAAAAAAATTTTTTTTTAATTCAATATCCTGAAATTTTGTTTCTAAGATTTTTAGTGTACCATTTCTTGGGTATTATTTAGGTTATATGGGGATTTGAGCCAACCGTCTTTTAAGGAAATAAATATGATGTTCGGTAGTCTAGCCATGTGGACAGCAGACGCTGCCATCCACCCTCTCTCCTCGTGCACATCACTGAATTTCATTTCCCCCCTTTTTTTTTTTTTTTTGAACTTTATTTTATTCCCGAGATGTCTCACGCGGCCACAAGCGCCTTATGCCGCTCCATAAAGCTGCAGTGTGAGCTGTACCCCTCGCGGCAGATCGCCATCTGCCTCGACCCCTACTGTGGCCTTGGCTTTGCCCTGTGGTGTCTGTGCAGGTGAGTGCAGGGCCCCTGCCGCCTGCCAGGTTGGAGCAGCTCGTGTGGCTCTTAGGAACCTTGGCCTTCTAAGGCACCTTTTCTGAGTGTTCAGGAAGCCGATGAGACGTGTGTGAGTGGATTTGTTTGGGGATGAAGTGGGTTGGAGTCTGAGTCTGAAATTGAGTGAAAATACAGTTTTCATTAAATACACTATCCATTATCAGTACTTGGGAAGAATCTGTTTGATTCCTTCAAACACTAGAAAGTAGTGATCCATCTCTGTAAGTGAGTGCCTCTGGAGCATTGTCCCTGGATACTCTCCAAGTGTTTGGAGCAGAGCTCAGGACCCCGTGCCTGCCATCCCCCAACGTTCACCCCATGGCATGTTTTCCACCAAACTCCCCTACTTGGCATCAGAACAGAATCATGCCACTGTCGTGGCTGGAAAAGAAGTATCCTTGAGGAAGGGAAGAGTGGAGTGCCCGGTGGGCAGGTGGAGCCTTACGAGCCTTCCTTCTCGCAGTGTCTACTCGGGACACCAATCAGTGCTGGTGCCCCCGCTGGAGCTGGAGAGCAATGTGTCCCTGTGGCTGTCAGCCGTCAGCCAGTACAAGGCCCGCGTCACCTTCTGCTCCTACTCTGTGATGGAGATGTGCACCAAGGGCCTGGGCGCACAGACGGGTGTCCTCAGGGTGAGTGCCCAGACCCGGGCTTCTGAGTGTGCTGTAGACCACAGCCCTGGGAAGTTTAAAAACAACAAAACAAAACAAGACTCCCAAGGCCCCTCCCTGCAGTTGGAAGAAGTAGAGAAAAACCTTTCCCACTACGGGCCCTGTGTACACATCCCTCCTCCACGGCTCACCTGTCTCTGCAGCTCCACACCCCGAAGGAGAGGCGGGTGTGGGAGTAGGGCAGGGTCCCTGCGAGATGGCAGGGTGGAGGTCTGGCTGTGTGGGAGGGCAGGTGTGGGATGCAGGTCAGATGGAATCCTCTAGCGCGTCCACACTTAGGATTCTATGGGACAGACACAGCCTGCAGAGAGGAGGTTGGTGTCCAGCTCCACCTCTGTGTGCCCACTCGGAGATTTCCCAAGACAGTGCCCAGGGCCCTGGCAACTCACGGGGCTGTGGCTGTGGCCTGACTGCTCCCCCCTCCCGCAGATGAAGGGGGTGAACCTGTCATGTGTGCGCACATGCATGGTGGTCGCCGAGGAGCGGCCCAGGATTGCGCTGACCCAGTCCTTCTCCAAGCTCTTCAAGGACCTGGGCCTGCCGGCCCGCGCCGTAAGCACCACGTTCGGGTGCAGGGTCAACGTGGCCATCTGCCTCCAGGTGAGGCGCTGGGGCCTGTGGTTCTCGAAAGCTGGCTGTTGGCAGCGTGGAGACCAAGCTTCCCAGCTGTTAATGTGCAGTTTTGTGCCTGCCTGATCTCTTTCTCCTTCTCTGAGCCTTTGATGTTTCATTTCCACGTAATATTTTAGCTTCAAGAGTTTTATTTTTAAAGATATTCTATTCTAGTTGAACAAAGGCTTATTTGGAAAAAAACACAAATTGTTTTTGAACAGTGACTAATATCTTACCTGTAAGACTCTCTAAGTTAGATATAATACACAGCTAAGTTCTTAAAGCAAGATTGAACTTACTGTTTTAAGATATCTAGCAATATTAAATTGAAACATTAATAAATGTAATTTGTATTGACTCATTCATTTTTGAAACCTTGAAATGTCTTATTAAAAGGAAGCACCAAGTTTCAGGCCAGGAGTGGTGGCTCATGCCTATAATCCCAGCACTTTGGGAGGCCGAGACAGGCGGATCACCTGAGGTCAGGAATTCGAGACCAGCCTGGACAATATGATGAGACCCCATCTCTACTAAAAATACAAAAATTAGCTGGCTGGTGGTGTGTGCCTGTGGTCCCGGCTACTTGGGAGGTTGACGCACTAGAATCGCTTGAACCTGGGAAGAGGAGGTTGTAGTGAGCCGAGATCTCACCACTGCACTCCAGCCTGGGTGACAGAGCGAGACCCTGTCTCAGAAAAAAAAAAAAAAGCACCAAGTTTCAGAGATTAAAGAGCTCATGGCAATTCTGTTTACTGCTTCCTCAGATAGCTACAGCTATTTCTCAGATTTTGTACTAGTATCTTAATTTCCTTTCTTTCTAAAAACATCTTAAAACCAAATAGCTTTTTAGATAACCCTACATATTGAATACCTTATTCACCCACATCGTACAAAAATAGCTGGAAGGAAATGGCACCTGTCCATGCCAGAGCAGGGCTGAGTGCGGGCCTGTCTCTGTTTCCAAAGTGTTTGCTTGGCCTTGTGCCTCCCCGTCACAGTGGCAGTGCACGCAGGGCAGGGTGGCGGCTCTGCTCACACCCTCTTCCCCACAAAAAGACCCCTGACCACTCAAGCCTCACACGCCTGTCACACAGCAGAGATCGGGCCTTTTGTGAGCTCGCTTCCTGCTGTAGGCTGTGGCTGAGCGTGGGTGCCGGCCTGTGTGTTAGTGGCTCTGCGTCTGCAAGCCTGGGGCCTCCTTGCTAGACGTCGGAAGGGTGTGGACGCCACATGTGATTGCAGAAATGAAGTTAATGGATGTTCACGTTTGCTCTTTAAGATACAGAGGTGGGTTTTGCTCTCTCTTTCCCTGTGTTTCTCATGTGGCTGCTGCTTCTGTGTGTGTTTCCTGTGGCTGTCTCCTCCCTGTCTCACTCTGCTGCCTCCTTGGCCTCTGTCAGCCCAACAGGCTGGGAAAGCTGGCTGAGCAGGTATGACCTTGACCTTGACCTTGTTGGTGCCTCTGTGCTTCCCCCTCCCACGAGTTCATGTGACTTTCTCGTGAATTCTAGACAAACATGTTTCTTTTGCTGTCTTACTTTGTTCACAGTGGATATTACTTGACATATTACAAAAGCTCCCTTGTAACCAAATTTAAAAGTAAAACTATTTTCAAAAAATGTTAATGCTCATAGTATTGCCTTGGGAGGAAGGGCTCTGTTTAAATTCAGTGCAGAGGTGTTTAATTCCAGTGCAGACATAGTTTATGTTGTCTGGGATCTTTAAGGGTGATGTTGATCAGCGTACTCATTTAATTTGATGTTCCTTATTGAATAAAATGACACATAATGTCCGTTAGTCGGGATTAATGTTAACTGTAAGGTTCAGAAAGGAAAGGAGTAGAAAGGTGAAGGCTGCCGTCCATCTCACCTGGGTGAGTCTCGGCTGCAAGCAGTCCCCAGTAGAATTAGACTGGTTGGTGAGAGGCCAGGCCCTGCCTGACAGCGTGGTGGAAATGCCCCTCAAATCCTAATGGTGTTTTCATCACAGCAGGAGACCAGTGGGAATAGAAAGTTGTTAGAGCTGAAATGTAAAGTGGCATGATTTGGTGTTTTCAGAGTCATTGACTCTTTCAATATTATCAAGCTCTGTGGATGTCTGGATGGAAAGCACCAGCCTGCCTGGGGGACCTCGAACCCCGAGGCAGACTTGCTGCAGGGAGCAGAGCGGCTCCCTTCTTGGGTGTCCCCGGGGGCCAGGGAGGAGCTGCCATGCAGCTGTGCCTGTGCAAACAAGATGAAAGTGAGGCCCCTGAACAGAAGTTCCTCTGCTGCTCTCCTTCCAGGGCACAGCTGGCCCAGACCCCACAACCGTCTACGTGGACATGCGGGCACTGCGCCATGACAGGTAATGTTCCCAGCCTGCCTGGGCCCCATTCATACCCAGCGGCAAAGTAGTGCGGACCAGCTCTGCGCTGACTGTGCACCCCTGGGACCCAGGCATTAGAGGACAGCTGGGCCAAGTCAGGCCTACCCGGGCACCTGGATAGGCACATGAGAGGACAGCTGGCTACACTGGGCCATCTGCACCAAGAGGAAAAGGAGAGCTGTGAGCCTCCTCTTCCCAGGGGAGCTCAGTGTCTGTCTCTGTGCGCCCGCGTCCCCAGGGCTGCAGTTAACATCCCTTTATCTGTCACACGGCCAGGAAGAATAAGAGTGACCCCTGTGACATTTGGTTTTTTAGAGGGATAGGGACAGACAGAAGACAAGTAATCCGTCTACTGGCAAGAACATTTCTTACCTGATGCTGTCATAGAATCTGACTTAGTTTTCATCTTGATAACCGATGGTGGTGCATACAGCGTGTGCTTGCTGGTCTGTGGTCAGGTGTGTATCAGGGCCTCTCCCAGCTTTGAAGCTCAGATCCCAGTCCTGGGTTCTCAAGTATGGCCACACTGTAGCTTGATGTAAACACTAGGTTTAGCTTACTGGGTGCCAGGGGCCTGCTGGGTTCAAGGAGGACCTAAAAGAAATGTAGAGTGAGCTGCTGTGAGCACATGGGGTGGGTCGTGAGTGCATGAGGGTGGCAGCACTTGGGACCACAGCGTGGTTGGGGTGTCCCTGCCATTCATGGCAGGTGTGCTGTGGAAAGGTTGACATCCTGGCTGTTGTCAGCAGACCCTCAGAGTGATCATTTCCAACCTCATGATCTGCCCTTTTAGACATACCTGTGTAGTGAATTACATACTGAAATTGTTCCCTTGATTTTTAGGGTACGTTTGGTAGAACGGGGTTCTCCGCACAGCCTGCCATTGATGGAGTCTGGAAAGGTAGTGGAAACCAAGACGTGTGCATTCTGAGTCGTGTCTGAGACGTCCGTCTGAAGCATCACCCCGTGGAGGGTGCTGGGGGCTGTGGCTCAGATGAACACGGGCTGACTTCTGGTTGGGGGGGGGGCTTGGCTGCTGCAGAAGCCTCCTTCCCTGCTTTGTGACTGGGATATAGAATCACTTAGTTACGTCTTTAAACACACGTCTGAGCTCAAAGCCAAGAAAGGGAGAACTTCAGGTACAGGAATAAAGAGCTCCCACTGGGTGGGTGGCAGGCCTCAGGCCTCCGGGGCAGGGCCATGGAGGCAGGGTCCGGCCCACCTACACATCAGTGGAGTGGCCCTGACCCTAAATTGGAGATGGCAAAATCTCATGCCCTAGTTTAGGGTGTCAGCAGGGAAGAGGCCCCCAGAGCCTGTAGAGGATCTGGGGGATCCTGAGATGGCCTGAGGAGTCCCAGGAAAAAACTGAGATGCTGCAAGGGGTCAGCAGACATAGGCACAGAACAGCATCCTCTGAATGGTTCAAAGGAAGGAGGTTTGAACCTCCTTTGGTTCAGGAAAGGTTCAAAGGAAGGAGGAAAAGCCACACAGCCCAGGAAGGCGGCATGAAGAGTATGCCAGGCTTGATGTGAGTGGGCAGCTGCTGCACATCCAGCAGGGGCCGCGGGGGCCCTGGTGCCTTCACAACCCCAGAGACCAGAGAAGGAGATTGGCCACCCTGACTCCGTTCATTGCCGTGGCCACAGCCACCTGTGGGGAGTCAGAGACGGGCCCAGAGAGGGACCCAGCCAAGCCACGTGATGTCCAGCACACAGACTCCTGCAGGGCAGCAGGGGTGAGACTGGGGACAGAAGGCACAGCTGCTGTGAGGGTCTCAAGGTGGGAGCTACTGGGAGGACGGTGGGACTGGGCTGAGTGTGGGGAGCAGGAGTGAGTGAGTGAGTGAACTCACATGCAGGTGCAGGGGCTTGAAAAGCTCCCATCCCATGTCCCCTGTGACAGTCACTTTAGGAAGTAGACCAGCCGAGAGTGGAGTTGGGTGAACTTAGTGGACAGCACATCTGTGGGAGCCGGGGCTGCTGCATGTCCTCCCTTCTCTGAGCACAGGGACATGTGAGCCGCCATCGCCAGAGCTCTGCATCATCCTTGGTGTAAACTCAGCGAGTTTCCCTGGGTCGTGGGGCCTCCACGCCGCTCCTTTCAGTGGCTGTTCCTGCCCTGCCATGTACAGCTGCACTGTAATTGTTTCACTCACCCCCTTTTATTGGACATTCTTTCCTGTTTTGCTGTTACAATCACTTGGGCCTGATAGGTTTGTGTCCTGGAAAGAGCTCTGGTTTTGGGGCTTAGCTGGGACATGCAGGGCGAAGATGGAGGCTCCAACAGCATCTGGGGAAACAGAACAGTCCCACCCGCTGGGGAGGGTCTGGTGCTGACCACCGCTCACACCTCCCTGTGGCCGGGGAGGGTCTGGTGCTGACCACAGCTCACACCTCCCTGTGGCCGGGGAGGGTCTGGCGCTGACCACAGCTCACACCTCCCTGTGGCCGGGGAGGGTCTGGCGCTGACCACAGCTCACACCTCGCTCTGGCCCCTCGTCCCCTCCTCCTGCCAGGAGTGCGACTGCCCCCATTTCATACGTGAGGAAACTGAGGACACAGAACAAGCATCCAGGTCTTGTGCAGTCAGTGGCCCGACCTGAGCCCAGTGAGGGAACGCTGGGACCGGGCCTGGGAGGCCAGGTAAGAGATGGTGGCCTGTTGCCTCTGAACTGGCACAGAGCCAGTGCTCAGTGGTTGGACTGACTCGGAGTCACGGGCAGGAAGAACTTCCTCGTGGTCAGGTTCCTGGCTGAGAACTAGGACAGACATGTGCCTCCTGCAGGGCTGGGCACAGCAGGGTCACTGCACCCCTGGATGTGTGCCCGTGAGGTGCGCTGGCATCACCTGGCTGATTGTCTTCATAGCCTTAGTGACCCTCTGCCCCTCCTGACACCCAAAGATGGGGTCCCGTCTTAGAAGCTGGAGTCATTTTGCTAAGATTCACAACTTATTTCTATTGACATCTCTTTTTCAAAATTCGAAGTCAAATTTGGAGCAGCCTCTAAACTTCCTGACCTCACATAAGCACGTCAGTCCTGCAGGCCAACTTCCGAGGGACGTTATTTTAACGTCACTGAATCAAGAGAGTCTCGTGCCATGTTTTCTTTAACAAGGGACATAGCTCTCCTCCTTCCAGATCCTCCCTGGCGTGAAGGTCATCATCGCACACACTGAGACCAAAGGACCCTTGGGAGACTCACACCTGGGAGAGGTGAGCTGAGGGCAGGGGCCCATGGGAGGGGCTTGAGCTCTCCAGCCTCACCGGCTTCATCTTCCTTCTATTTTTGCTTCAGATTTGGGAATTCTAAACTGTGGAATAACACTTGCCTTTGGGAATCTACCAGAAACCATTTGGCCCTTCCCCCATGTACCTCCCAGACCCAGTTCCTATGTAGGATTTTGGGGTACTGTGGGACAAACTGCCTCATCCCCAGGTTGACCTAACCAACAGAGGGGAACCCCTAGGTGTGAGGGCACTGACAGGTGGGAGGAGCTGCACAGGCACCAGTGGCAGCATGGAAAACAGCTACCTTGTGCAGGACCCAGCAGCTGCTACTTAAAACGTGGTCCCTGGCACCCAGGCAGGAGCACAGACCCGGGGGAACTGGTGACAGAGAACTCTGCTCCAGAAGAGTTCAAGGTCTCCACCTGCCCTGGGAGGTTCGGAGAGCTCAGAGCCCTTGTCCTGAGGGTGCAGGTGGAAGGTGTAGGTCTCCCTGAGAACACGGAGGCTATACAGGAATCCATTGGGTTGAAATGTCTACATGTATTGCACGTATATCTTGCTGTAATTTGGGACAGGCACGACTCATTATTTATGGGCAGCGGTGGCAGCTTGACATGCAGTCGTGTCCCGAACGTGCAGATTGATCTGTTGTCATGAGAGCTTAGGACTCACGTTCCTAGTCCTATCCTCTTGGGGAATGTGCTGTCAAATTGATGTCTTCAGACCAGGCGGGCACAGGCATCATTTGTGGGCTCTGCTGTGAAGCCAGACTGGGGGCTTCCAGCAAGCCGTGCCCAGTGGGAAATCACTCAGCCTCAGCTGGCTTCTTCTGACTGGGACAAGGGTGTGAGCGTGTGACCCCTCAGGTGGTCTTAAACTGTGTCCTGATGGGAAGGTGTCCTGGGTCCCAATCCTGAGTGTGGATGAGTGAGGGACCCTCCCCTCAACCATCCCACTTCTGGACAGCCAAACCCAGGTCTGTAAGTCAAGGGTGTGTCCCCAGGAGATGGCGAGTCTGAGCCAGGAATGGGGACCCACCCCTCATGGCAGATGCTCAAGAGAAATGCCCCTGTTGGCCACCCCCTTCTTCTCTTTCAGACGCTGCCATGCAGGGGCATGTTAGAGCCAGTTGAACTGACTGTAGGTTCTGGACGGACTCTGTGTCTAGAAGGGCCCCATGACACTTGGTCCTGCAGGCACAGGCCTCTGGTCCCTTGGTCTCTGCATGGATGCACACAAATGCTTACATGTGTGTAGATATGCGGGTGCACGCAAACATGTGAACAGACTGGTGGACACACACGTGCACATGGATAGTGGACGCACACACACACGCATGGGGCTGACGTTAACCCTGGGACGTGCTGTCTGCTTTCAGGGCCTCTGTCTTGCCATGAGTCTGAGCAGCCACATGCTCTCCACTCTGTAGGGACCCTCATTCCTTCAGCCTGTCCCTGTTGTGGAATTTGGGTTGCTTCCAGCCCTCTCTTATTGCCAACAATAGTTGGATGTGAGGAAGGTGGAATTGCCCCCGTCTACTTACCCACGTAGGATAGAGTCCTACAGATGCCATTCTTGGGTCAAAGGAAGAAATAGTATTTAAGGAGAGAAAAGTTATGTTTGCTTTCTGTGCCTGTAATTTAACTTAGTTCATAAAATAAGAGACAATGAATATTATCCGCCCGACTTCGTTCGGTGTTTTCTGGAGCATTATTCTTGGCCAATGGATGTCTCGTGACAGAATCTGAACTCGGTTGTTGGTGACACTTCACATTCTTGTCCTCTGGGCCCCACCAGATCTGGGTAAGCAGCCCCCACAATGCCACCGGCTACTACACCGTCTATGGGGAGGAGGCGCTTCATGCCGACCACTTCAGTGCCCGGCTGAGTTTTGGAGACACACAGACCATCTGGGCAAGGACTGGCTACCTTGGCTTCCTTCGACGAACAGAGCTCACCGATGCCAGTGGAGGTGAGGGGTTGTGGTGAAGTCCCACGTGAGTGCTATGCGGGGAGGATCTGGGCTCCCCAAGAGCTTGGTCACCTGCTGGCACACCTCACTCCTTGCTGTGGTCTGGTATTGTTCAGTGTGGGGGAAAGATACTCTGACAGCGGTTTTCTCTGAAAATACTGGTTTCCCTCCATGACTGCCCCTCGCTATCCTTGGGACCTTGGCCTCTGCTAAGGGGTGGGGGGATAGTGTTGGTGATAAGGCTACCAGGCTCCTCAGGGAGGCCTCCTCCTCTCTGCCAGGCCGGCCTCTCTGCCACTGTGTCTTTACCAGTGGCTTTCCCATGCACAACCCATTCAAAGTTGTGGCCAATGTCCAGAGGACTCTGTGCAGCCACCACAAGCTGGCCAGATAAGGCAGAACTTTTGGTAGCTCCTATAGATAGTGTCCCGTTCCCAGAGATAAAAGTTATTTTTAATAACACGCTCACACTTGCTGTAACTTTCCTGAGGTGGTTCCATGCTGCAGAGGTAACAGCCTGCACTGCCAGTACCTCCATCACCCTCTCTGCATGTGGTGTGGGACCTCATGATGTTTGAGCTGAGACCTCCCTGTGCCTGAGAGCCCCTGGTTGGGCTCAGAGGATACGAGCCCATGCCTCTGCATGCCTCGGCTTTCTGGGCACGTGTAAACACACACTGTTCACAGGGCGGCATGATGCACTGTATGTCGTTGGGTCTCTGGATGAAACTCTGGAGCTCAGAGGCATGCGGTACCACCCCATCGACATCGAGACCTCTGTCATCCGAGCACACAGGAGCGTCGCTGAGTGGTAAGAGCCCAGGTGGAGGGCGGCTCCACGTGGTCCATACAGCCCTTCCTCTGTGCGTGAGTGCTGTGCATCGGTTGGAGCAGAGCCGAGGACTGCTGGGCCTGAGCACAGGCCTCCTGCATTGTCACCCTGGTCTGCAGTGGAGCTGGGTGCCATGTAGACGAGCCCTGTCTACCTTGGGCATTGCCAGAGGGGGCTGAGGACTTCTTGTGGGTCCTCCCTCTGGATGTACTCTGCACAGCATGGTACCAGAGCACACCTTGCTGCCTTTGTTTGGGTTTGGCTTGTTTTCTTCTCCGTTTCCTTATGAGTTGTAAGCCAAGAGATTGTCCCCAAATGCACAGGCAAAAGGTAAGGTTTCCACAGGTCTCATCCTGAAGTGTTTCTGCTCTTAATGTGTTTCTCACATGGTTGTGACTCCTGATTCCTTCACCTGTGGGGAACTTGTGTTGGGACAGGTACAGCTTTCAGCATCAGATAATGCTCCTGATTCTCAGTAAAAGCTTTAGTTAGAACAGACATCCTGTAAAATGGATCTGGCCTGATCTTTAGGTTGTGAATAGCCTTAAATAGCTCTGTGACATCAGTGTGCTTTGCTCTTCTTTGTGCCACCCTTTCCCAAGCATTCATTGGCCCCTGTGGCCTGTGCCTGTGTCCGTGTGACCCCATCTGTCTTTCCTCTGCAGTGCCGTGTTCACCTGGACCAACCTGCTGGTGGTGGTGGTGGAGCTGGATGGGCTGGAGCAGGATGCCCTGGACCTGGTGGCCCTGGTGACCAACGTGGTGCTGGAGGAGCACTACCTGGTCGTGGGCGTCGTGGTCATTGTGGACCCAGGGGTGATCCCTATCAACTCTCGGGGTGAGAAGCAGCGCATGCACCTGCGGGACGGCTTCCTGGCTGACCAGCTGGACCCCATCTATGTGGCCTACAACATGTGAGCGCAGCACCCCAGACCAGGTGCCGGAGACGAATGAGCTCCAGCAGTCCAAGGTGATGTGGGAAGACACTGCAGAGCCCACGCACCGGGACTCGCCCCTTCCTGTGCTCTTACAGATCCCTCTCAGCAGTTCCCTGCATCTCCTTTTAGAAAGCACTTCCTGAATTATTTAAAGAAATATTTTGAATCTGCCAAGTACATTTACAAAAACACAGATGCTGGTATTTTAACAGATGGAGAGACAAGGAAAGGAAAGGAAAGGCCTGGCGTGGGCATTGTGAGGAATCACAGGCACCGAGGTTGTTCTCTGCTGTACTGCAAGTTTGCACTTTCTTTAGGCTAAAAATGTAGTTCCTGATTTTTAAAATTCAGTTATTTATTCCCACTTCAAATGACAAGTTCATATATAGAAATTACGGAGAGAAACTTGAGACCATTTACAGAGAGAAACTTGATTCTGGGAAGATAGCAGAGTACAAACCAGCTGCCTCACTTCTGTTTCACAGGGAGGCTGATGGAAAGGAAGCAAGCTGGACCCATCCTCCCTGCTCACAGAGCACTATGGTCACACGCAGTGCCTGCTCTGCCAGTTTCGTTATTGAAAGAGTTGTGCTGGCTGGGTGCAGTGGCTCTCGCCTGTAATCCCAGCACTTTGGGAGACCAAGGCGGGTGGATCAAGAGGTCAGGAGATCGAGACCATCCTGGCTAACACGGAGAAACCCCGTCTCTACTAAAAATACAAAAAATTAGCCAGGTGCCGGGCGCGGTGGCTCAAGCCTGTAATCCCAGCACTTTGGGAGGCCGAGACGGGTGGATCACGAGGTCAGGAGATCGAGACCATCCTGGCTAACGTGGTGAAACCCCGTCTCTACTAAAAAATACAAAAAAAAAAAAAAACTAGCCGGGTGAGGTGGCGGGCGCCTGTAGTCCCAGCTACTCAGGAGGCTGAGGCAGGAGAATGGCGGGAACCCGGGAGGCATGGCTTGCAGTGAGCTGAGATCCGGCCACTGCACTCCAGCCTGGGCTACAGAGCGAGACTCCGTCTCACAAAAAAAAAAAAAGCCAGATCCACGTGGTGGTGGGCGCCTATAGTCCCAGTTACTCGGGAGGCTGAGGCAGGAGAATGGTGTGAACCTGGGAGGCGGAGCTTGCAGTGAACCAAGATCATGCCTCTCGCCACTGCATTCTAGCCTGGGTGACAGAGCGAGATGCCGTTTAAAAACAAAAAACAAAGGTGTGCTGCTTGTCAGCATATATTGTTGTTGTCATGGACACTCAGTAAGTGCCATTTTGGACTGCCAAGTTTAGATGCTTTGTTTCAGAAACATAAGCCAGCATTTAGTTTTAAATCACTTTCCTGGTTTGTAACTTGATGCTGTTTAGTTAAATTGCTAGTTTTCCTAACACTACAATATTAATTCTTCTCGTGGAAGTGTACTGATGTATTATTTTTATTCCAAGTCAGCAGATTTGGAAGCATTGGTGGTAAAGTCTAAGGTTTTCATATCCATAGTGCTGTTTGGTGAGTACCAGCAGTACAGTTGAGGGGAGCAGGGAACAGCGTTGCCCCGTATTGAAGGTGGAGACGGTTACATTCTTCACTGCCTTTCACATTTTGAGTTGTGTGCCTATAAAATTTAGCCAAACCATTTTATTATTTTGTTCAAACTTGACTAAGCTGAGTGATCTAAAATTATACAGAACCTAAATCAGAGAATGTAAAGTCCTTTAGTTACTTCTAAGAATTTGAAGTCAAGCACGAATCTAAGATATAGATTATTTTTATATAGCTAATTAAGAGTATGTTATGAAATTGTTTGGTTTTTGGGGTATTGAGGGTGGAAAATTTTGTGAATCATGCATGCTTCACAGAAACAACCAGGTTTTTCCAGAATTAGTCTGGATCAGTGCCTAACAAAGCTGTTATTAATTCTCCACACATAAACCTGGCTAACTGGGCCAGCTCTCATGTTTTACTCCTGTCTGGCTACAAATAGCACTGTGCATAGTAGCCCTGTTTCCCCATGGTGGACTGTGGTAAAGTATGTTGTGACATACTGGAATTCTAATAACCCTGTTGTAATTATGTACAGAATCTATGTAACTTATTGTTGACATACAGAGGTTTGGGCAGTAGTCTAACGGACATTCCTTACAATAGAATGGCTGGGAAGGGAAAGAAAAAAAAAAAGCTACCTAACTCCAATCTTGATGTTGTAGTTTTATAGCAAACAAAAATTGTCAGCTTTTTGTATTGAAAGGTCAGTGGTGGTAAGACAAGGTGTCTTGTAAATTAAGATTTTAAGAAGTGCATTAAAATGTTTTGGAATTACTCTGGGAATTCTGTATATCATACTAAAATTTTTATATCATTATGTTAATAAAAGTTATTGACTTTGTAATTCTGCATTTTGAAATGTGTGAAAAGGGTTTTTAAATTACCCCGAATAGGATGTAATAGGATGTATTTTATTTTGCTTTTTTTTTCTGACTATAAAAGCAATTATGCTTATAGCATAAAATCTAGAAAGCACATTAAAGTATAAAGAAAATTAAAATTTCTTATAATTCTACCTCTGAGTAAATAGCAGCATTCGTATGTGACATAAACCCTCTCAGGGATTTATTTTTTTTCTTTTTAAAAATTTTTTACAAAATTAGGATCAAGTGCTTTTTTAAATAATTTGCTTTTGTACTTAATAAATTATAGACTTTTAAGTCTGTTACATATATTCTTCTACGTTTCAATGGCTGTGTTTTACAAGTGTGCCATGAGTAAATGTAGTATTTGCTGTATTGCTGTATATCAGTGTTGTTTCAACAGGACCACGGTGAGCCTCCTTTCAGATGCACGTTTACACTGCCATGATTGCAGTTACTGCCTTGAGCTCAGTTCCTGTAGGTAGAGTGAGTGGGTCAGAGTTCACGCCAGGTTTGAAGCTTTGGGTACCTGCTGCCCTCCAGAAGGGCAGGGTGACAGCATGGAAAAGGCCTCTTTGCAGTTGCCAAGCAATGTTGGCAGTGGACATGTGCTCAAGATTAAAATAACTCTAACAATTTGATAGGCAAATAAGTGGTGTGTCTGGTCATGTTGAATATGTCCTCATTTGTTCATGGCCATTTTTAGTTCTTATCTGATGTATTTTGTTCAGATTTGGCAGTTTTTATGGTCAAGTTTTTTCATACTGACATGTAGGAGTCTCTATTAAGAATTATAACCCCCATATACTTCGTTTTCTGTGGGTTATTTGTATTTTGGTTCTATTTGTTTTAATGCAGGTGGTTTTTTAAATGTTACATTTATGCAAACTGTGGTTATTGTGTTTGATTTCAGATTATGAATATAGCTGATTTATTTCAAAGTGGTTCTACTGGAATGATCAGCATAAACCAATGGGGAGTCCATGGCAGAGAAATAACTATCCTCCAGTGTTTGGTTGCTGCCACAGTGCTGGCCTTCAGGCTTCCAGGCTGTTCTAAAGAAAAGGCAAGGAGACCTGCTGCTGCCACTGTGTCTTGCTGTCAGTAAATATCCTCAGTAAATCACGTGCATGTTATTTGCCATGTGAGAAAAGAACAGGAGGAGGAAGCATTCCCTTCCTATCTGAGATAATGTTACATAAATTTTGGGTCCTAAAGGGTTAGGGAAGGCATTCTCTATTTAAATTGGATACAACAGCAGTGTTGTGACACTCTGCGTGGCATTCATCCTCTTGTTTGATGTTCAGTTTCAGTAATGTAGAATTAAAAGGAAACTACATGTAAAATTTCAGAATTAATGGTTTTTACATTTTTGCTTATTAGTAAAAAATTTGAGTTGAAGAGGAATGACTTTAAAGTATCTAAGCAGGTGCCTGGACTGTCCTCCCTCTTCCCTCTTGCTGGTCTGAAAGCCTCAGTCACCCTAATCCTCACCCAGGTCTTCCTGAATTCTGCTCTGCTTTTCAGGATTTAATGAGAGAACCTTTTCACATGAGCCAATGAGATATTTCAGAAGGATCATCGTGGAGTTTGCTGAGGGCAGTACAGGGCGAGAAATTGAGACTTTATTAGTGTTTAGTGCCTACTAAGTGTGGGATACATTATTCCCCAGATTCTCAAAGGAACTGAAAAGGCTAGATATGAATATTCATTTCACATGCCACTTAAAAAAAGTCAAAAGGAGCACGAGGGATCAAATGAAGCTTTGACGGGAAAAGGGAGCACAGAGGTATTGCCACTGACCATCACTGCTAGGTGGGTGTGCCCAGATGCTGCAGGAGGCTCCAGATGGAAATCAGTGGAGTGAAGGCCATCTACAGGCTTTCATGCTCTGGTGGAATGGTACGTAAGTCAAAGACAAGCAATTTTTAGCATTTATGTTATTCATGAAGGGGAAGGATTCTGGGAAGATAGCAGAGTACAAACCACCAGGAATATGTCTTCCCTACCTGGACAGTAATTGCACTGGCAGAATCTGATGTGACTATTTTGGAGCTCTGGAGTCTGCTGATGGCTTGTAACTTCCAGGGCAAGGCTTAGATGGTAAATGAGGGTTAATTTTAGCTCCTGGCACAGTGGCAGCTACCCTACCCCCTGCCCATGGCAGGCAACTGTGCACGTGTTCCAGGAGCAGCTTGCACATGGAGCCAGATCCTTGATTGCTACTTCTGATTTTAGAGGGGCAGATGAGTCCAGAGACCATTGTTGCAGCTCCCCTGATTTTTGCAAACCCCTCTTCATCCAGCTTAAATTACTTCCATTGCTGTGATTTAAAGGCCCAGGACCCTTCTCCCCCAACCCTTCATGTTTCTCATTTTCTCCTTTTGGGAGCCAGACACTAAAGACTAGGATGTTCAAAAGCACCTGCACATACAGGGGGAAGTAGAAAATGTACATGTCCAGGGAAAGGTACAGCTCAGAAAAGAACTGAGAAGACCTTAAAATGAGACCTCAAGCTGATCTTTGACATAGAGACAGCTAAGGATCAATAAAAATAAATAAATAACAAAAACCCCCAGCAAACCCTGGGGAAGAAGAATCTGATTTCCAGATTAACAACATTATTTAATTTTAATGCCAGTTTTTCAACAAAAAGATCACAAGACATGCAAAGAAAAATATGCTTCATTCCAAGGAAAAATGAATAGAAACTGTCCCTGAAAAAGACCTGATCGTACTTGACAAAGACTGTCAAATAACTGTCTTAAAGATGTGCAGAGAACTAAGGAAGATGTGGAGAAAGTTAAAAACCAATGCATGAGGAAAATGGAAATATCAATAAAGAGATAACCTAAATTCTGGAGCTGAAAAGTACAATAACTAAAATGAAAAATTCCCTAGAAGAATCCAAGGGCAGGAAGAGAATCAGTGAGCTTGAAGATAGGACGGTAGAAATTAATGAGTCTGAAGAAAAGAAAAAAAGATTGAAGAAAAATGAACAGAGTCTGAGGGAACTGTGGGACACCATTAAGCAGACCAATATATGCATGTTGGCAGTTCCAGAAGCAGGGTTGAGGGGGAGAGAGAATACTTGAAGAAGTAATGGCTGAAGACTTCCTAAATTTGATGAAAGACATGAATATAAGCATCCAGGTAGCGCGACAAATTCCAAGTAAGATGAATTCAAAGAGACCACCCAGACATCAACATTTCAGAAGCCAAAGCCAGAGAATTTTGAAAGCAACAAGAGAGAAGCAACTTGTTACATACAAAGAATCCTCAATAACAGGTCCCCAAGCCCAGGGCCACAGACCGTTACCAGTTTGTGGCCTGTTAGGTACTGGACTACACAACAGGAAGTGAGTGGTGGGTGAGTGAGCATTACCACCTGAACTCTGCCTCCTGTCAGATCAGTAGTGACATAAGATTTTCATAGGCATGCAAGCATTCTTGTGAACTAACTGCACATGCCAGGGATCAAGGTTGCACACTCCTTATAAGAATCTAATGCCTGATGATCTGAGGTGGGACAGTTCTATTCCAAAACCATCATCCTGTGCCCCCCGGTCTGTGGAATAATTGTCTTCCACAAAACCAGTCCCTGGTGCCAAAAAGGTTGGGGACTACTGCTCAATAAGATTATCAGCAGAGACCGGGCACGGTGGCTCAAGCCTGTAATCCTAGCACTTTGGGAGGCCGAGACGGGCGGATCACGAGGTCAGGAGATCGAGACCATCCTGGCTAACACGGTGAAACCCCCTCTCTACTAAAAAAAATACAAAAAACTAGCCGGGAGAGGTGGCAGGTGCCTGTAGTCCCAGCTACTCGGGAGGCTGAGGCAGGAGAATGGCGTGAACCCGGGAGGCGGAGCTTGCAGTGAGCTGAGATCCAGCCACTGCACTCCAGCCTGGGCGACACAGCGAGACTCCATCTCAAAAAAAAAAAAAAATTATCAGCAGATTTCTCATCAGAAACTAGGGGCCAGAAGGTAGTGGGCCAATATATTAAAAATGCTAAGAGAAAAAAAAAAGTCAACCAAGGATCCTATACCTGGCAAAGCAGCTCATCAAACGTGAAGGAGGCCGGGCGTGGTGGCTCATGCTTGTAATCCCAGCACTTGGGGAGGCCGAGGTGGGCGGATCATGAGGTCAGGAGATTGAGACCATCCTGGCTAACACGGTCAAACCCCGTCTCTACTAAAAATACAAAAAATTAGCCGGGCATGGTGGCAGGCGCCTGTAGTCCCAGCTACTCGGGAGGCTGAGGCAGGAGAATGGCGTGAACCCAGGAGGCGGAGCTTGCAGTGAGCCGAGATAGTGTCACTGCACTCTAGCCTGGGTGACAGAGCAAGACTCCATCTCACAAAAAAAAAAAAAAAAAAAAAGACATTAAAGCATTCTAAGATAAACAAGCTGAGGGAGTTTGTTACCCCTAGACCTGCCTTAGAAGAAATGCTAAAGGGAGTCCTGCTGGGTGAAATGAAAGGACACTAGACAGTAACCCAAATTCATCTGAAGAAATGAAGATGTCAGTGAAGGTAACAGAATGGGCAATTATAAAATCTGGTAGTATTGAAATGATGGTCCATAATTGCAGTATCTTTTTTCTACATGATGTAAGAGACTAACGTAGTTTTAGTAAATTACTCTAAAAGCCAGAATTATTGTAACTTTGATTTGTTACTCCACATTTTGTTTTTTACATAATTTAAGAGGCTGAATTAAAGAATTACTAGTTTGGCCGGGCGCAGTGGCTCAAGCCTGTAATCCCAGCACTTTGGGAGGCTGAGATGGGTGGATCACGAGGTCAGGAGATCGAGACCATCCTGGCTAAGACGGTGAAACCCCGTCTCTACTAAAAAAAAATACAAAAAAACTAGCCGGGCGAGGTGGCGGGCGCCTGTAGTCCCAGCTACTCGGGAGGCTGAGGCAGGAGAATGGCGGGAACCCGGGAGGCGGAGCTTGCAGTGAGCTGAGATCGGGCCACAGTACTCCAGTCTGGGCGACAGAGTGCCAGTCTGGGCGACAGAGCGAGACTCCGTCTCAAAAAAAAAAAAAAAAAAAAAAAAAAAAATTACTAGTTTATGTTTTGGGCTACACAGTTTATAAAGATTAATTTGGTGACATCAATAGGTTTGGACAGAGCTTTTAAAGGAGCTGAATTTGTTATTAACGTTAAGCTGGTAAAATTCAAGTTAGAGTATAGTATTAGAACTTTGGGATGTTTAATGTAATCCCCCGGTAGCCACAAAGAAAACAGCTATAGCAGTGGTCCCCAGCCTTTTTGGCACCAGGGACCAGTTTCATGGAAGACAAATTTTCCACAGACTGGGAAGGGGGGAATGGTTTTGAGATGAAACTGTTCTACCTCAGATCATCAGGCATTAGTTAGATTGTTATAAGGAGGACAAAACCTAGATCCCACTCATGTGCAGTTCACTATAGGGTTTGTGCTCCTGTAAGAATCTAATGTGGGCTGGGTGTGGTGGCTCACGCCTGTAATCCCAACACTTTGGGAGGCCAAGGCGGGTGGATCACGAGGTCAGGAGATCGAGACCATCCTGGTTAACATGGTGAAACCCTGTTTCTACTAAAAATACAAAAATTAGTCGGGCATGATGGTGGGTGCCTGTAGTCCCAGCCACTTGGGAGGCTGAGGCAGGAGAATGGTGTGAACTTGGGAGGCGGAGCTTGCAGTGAGCTGAGATTGCGCCACTGCACTCCAGCCTGGGCGGCAGAGCAAGACTCCGTCTCAAAAAAAAAAAAAAAATCTAATGTGGCCACTGATCTGACGGGAGATGGAGC